CGGGAGGTTTAGGTCATCCCTATTTTTGGTCAACATATCGGTCAATGACTTTAAAATCCTTCCCATGAAGGCCATGCAGCAACAGCCCCATCTGTCCGTAAGTCACAACCCTTCAAAAGTCCTTTAATCTGAACTCGTGTCCCCTTTGCTTGTCTTCAGGCAAGCGGTTTTACCTTAACCTCGTAACATGCGGACTTTAAAAGAATCGTTCGAAACCGTTTGAAACCTTCTCGTTCCACCCCCACGCTACTCACAAGTCTATCTACAACACTATTCGGTCGCGCCCTTGCTTCTGCCGCTCGCAGTCAGGCAAATGAGCCGTGTCATTAACTCCCGGGCTTTGCGGTCCTCCTGCGCGGAAGACGAGGAATCGAGGGCAGTCAGGACAGCCAAAAGCCATGAAGCCACAAAATGGACTATATACTATCAAACCTCTCCAATGGCTGCTCTGCTGCTGCTGCCCTTGTTGTTCTAGTGCTGTCCTTAGCTAGTGCTGTCCTTAGCTAGTGCTGACCTCTCTTTCTGCGTAGTAGCGGGAATGGCCAACAGTGTTGTAGTGCCGGTCCTGACTTCAGACCCCTCACTCACCTGAAGCTGGTGTATCTTCCAGAGGTCTCGAAGGTCCTCCACCACCGGCGTGGCGCCATTTGCCTACACGGTACATGAGGGGCCATTACAGCGAGCTGAGTAACTGGGTGGCTAGTTGAGTAGCAGCTCCGGAACCCAGGGAGGTTGGGAAAGTGGCGCAAGGCTCCCCCAATCGGTGTCCCATGCGGCGGCCCCTTACTGCTAAGGAGAAGTTGCGGCAACTGTGCGATGTAATACAATGTACGCACGTGGTCCTGTGCCGGCAGTTCTATTGCAGTAGTCCCATTGCACTGCTTAGGAGAGAAGTGTGGTCGCCCAGCCGTGAACCCCACCACTGCGTGTACCTCCCTCCTGAGTACGGCATGATCCCACCAGACGTACCATAATGTACTGCATCTCTGCATCGCTGATGCCCGCGGCTGCCGCGGCTGCCTCCATAGCAGCAGCTGCTGCTGTCTTGATCTTCCCCCCATTCCCTTCTGCTCCTGGCTCGGCACCCGGGCCACCACCACCGGTGCTGCCGCAGGCGACGGCGCCGGTGCCGCTGCTCACAACAGCCTGCGGCTCACAACAGCCCGCCACTGCCAAAGCACTATCCGTGGCGCAACCTGCGCTGCAGGCACTCACACTTGGACCAGCAGGTGGCTGCGCACCCGTGTAACTCTGCTGCTCCTGCTGCCGGTCTTGAGCCCCACCTGCACATCCTCCTCCCCCTGCTGCGCCTCCATCCAGTCGCTGGCTCCGCGCCCCAGCCTCCGCCTTGTCGTCTCCAGCCTCCAGCTGCCGCAGAGCAGCCTCAGCCCTCCGCGCCCACTCACCCACAAGGTCCACCGGTGCAGCTACCTGTCTCGCGACGGGCGGCGCCAACCTCGGGACCCGGCGGCTGCGTGGCACAAGGAGATCCTCCGGCAGCGTGTCGCTCACCACCACCACCGTTGGCTGTGGGGGCTCAGGCGGCGGACCGACAGAAGCGGCTCCCGTGTTCAGAGCCCCGCCGCCGCCGGCGACGACGGGGGGCGTTGCTGAGCCCTCTGCCGCATCCGCCTCCTCGCCGACCCCAGAGCCTGGCACGTGCTCCATCACCACCTGTAGTGCGCATGAGGAATGAAAAAGGGGAGAGGGTTTTCCTCAACACAGACAGCCGCCCCCGGGGCCAAACCAAACGATGCGGCGTCAGGGATTGGTCCGGTTGCACACCAGGTGTGCTCAGCAGGTTGCTGGTCCCGTTGTACGGCTCTACGGAACTTTTCCTTTCGTGCTTAAACGGACCAGGGTGACTGCACAAAATCCGGCGCGCTCCCATCTTTAGTCGCCACCACAGCCACCACAGCAACGAAACGAGCCCGGCCTCCGCATTTTGAGGAGATAGAAGGCATGGAGGTCTTTGATCGAAGTACCTGAAATACGCGAGGACGCTCTTTCCATACGTGCTGCCGTTTGCACATCGTCACGTATACGGCATCCAGCTCGGATTACTGCACTATTGTGCGTCACTGCACATTATCCGTCAACGGAAGGGTCGACCTGCTCACCAGGACCTGCCCACACCATCAACCACTGCCCTCGCGCGGCGGGGTGATGCTCCACAACAAGTCATAAGGTCGTACCCTACTTTTTGCTGCTGCCAAATAACATATTGCCGTACCTGTACTGAAAAGGGACTGCTGCCCACGTGCCTCTCCGAGGAGCTGTCGATCACCTGCACGAAAGTCGTACATGTCGTACGTTTCATAGGTCAGTGCGGCGGTATGATGTGCACGATGAGACTTGGCGAATGGAAAGGCCTCGCATCTGGACAGCAAGGCTCGCACGTATACACAGAGAGAGACAATCGCGTTTGCAAAAGTGCATACATATTTTATTATGAACAGGGCCGAGTATATAGGAGTTCCGAGAGGATGGCACGCATGCACCTGTGCCGGATCAAATTATCCAGCTGCGATATTGCTGGTTTTACAAAGTAGATGATGAAAGGGACAATGACGCCAGAGGAGCTGCAGTAGCCGGCGCTGTACCGGCAATGGACTGTGGTGGGCAGTGGGCGGCCAGGGGCAGTACAGATTGAAAGGGGGCCTAAAACCCTGAGCAAAGTTCCCCTAACAGACCTGCTGCATGCATGCCATGCAAGTGTGTGCGGGTGTGTGCGTGCGTATGTGTGTGTGTGTGTGTGTGTGTGTGTCTCTGTCTATACAATTTATGTGCCCTTCAGCTGCGAGTTGAGGCCTCGTAAGATTGCATTTGGGGCCGCATACGCATATTATTACAATAACAATAATAATATTATCACAAAATATATTATTATCACATAATATAATATAAATTATATAAATTGTATTATAAAAATAATTATGTGTGAACTTGAAATTGTATTGCGTGTAGACGTTGCCGGCTTACATACACACAACGCCTGCATGTGACTGAACTTGCCCCGGCATCAGCAGCAGGCATACCTGTAGGCGGTAGAACCCAGGTACGGCAGGCGCATAGTACGACACGCGGTACTCGGGACGTCCGTTGTCCGACAGCTCCACACGCACCGGCACGTCCAGCACCCCATTGCTCAGGCTGACCTGCGCATCGTACAGATGTCGTTCGGCGGGACGAGCTTTACCCGTTCTCCATTACGCAGCTCTCTGTCCCGGGGCTGAATTGCTGGTTGTGTTTTAGAAATTTGCAAGGGGAGCTCATGACGGGGGAGGGCTGGAGCAACGGTCACAAGGTCAGGTAGATATGCTTGTAGTAGTAGCACCGACCAGGAAGCCGGGGTTGGACCCAACATCACTCTTTTTCTTCATGTTTGCAGCCGATCTTCACACAAGCGCCCTAAAACCCCACACACACCCGCACCCGTAGCGGCAAGCCACGCGGTAGGTGCCTCAGGTCCACTCGGTTGCCGTACATGTCACGCGGCTCAACGACGAACGATGCAGGGCTCCCCACTGCAGCGATACGTCGCCCCGTGCCGATGATCGTTGTGGCGCGGGCACTTGGCTTGGCCCCCGCCACTCGTAAAATGTACGGCGAGTCTGCCACATGTCGTACAGCTCCTTCCTCTGGATCTGAGGAACGGGGAGTGGGGTCCTCTTCTGCGAATCCCGTCTAGGGCGCGCCTGTCTCTCGCCCATTGCCCCTTTGTTGTGCGCAATTTGAGCGACCGACAGGTCCGGCTTTGCTAGGGCTCCAATCGCAGACCGGAGGGGGAGGTCAGCGGATTGTTCCCAGAGGGCCTTATCTCATCTGGCGCGGCGTGTTCGGGGTAAAGGTGGGAAGCTTTACTCCCAGTTGCCCGTCTTCAGCCTTTTCTGACCATTTGCCAGTTCACACATTCACAACGTAAGTGCAGGGTCCCTTACCCCGGCAATTCGGCACACGTGTGGCCCTCATCAGACAACACTGCGCGAACCAGAGGGCACAACTACTCAGGGCCCTCTTCTCAAACTCACCCTCTAACAGGACGTGCAGCTCAAGGATGCCTGCCACACAAGTTGTGTACGACACTTCGTACATCCCGTCGCCGCGGTCCACTACTTCGCCGATAGCCACTACTGTCGCCGCCAGCTGCTGCGGCTGCTGCTGCTGGTCCCCTAGGGGGCCCGGGGAAAGGGCCGACAGCTGCAGCTCCACGCGGAAGTGATCACCGCCAGAAAGCCTTCGGTTGCCCAGGTCATCACGGGCCTGTAGGACGGAACGGCAGGATGCCCGAGCCACCCATGTGATCGCCCGTGTCTGTGTGTGTGTGTGTGTGTCTGTATGCGTGTCTGTGTGCATTAGTTCACCCCGCGCGCAGCGGCACGCACCCGCACCAGCTAGGGTCCCGAGGACGGAAGAAGTGTGATAAGGGGTCCGGGGCACACACGGGGGAGTTACGACTACCCGGACCCAGCATCCCCCAGCTCCTCCCTCCCTCCCCGGTTCGTATGGCCTTCATAAGGCCCTTTCCTCGAAGACACAAGATCCCGGCTCACCTCGATGATCAATCGTGCCGTCTCCCCTGCCACCGCTCGGTTAACACCGGGACCCGCCACTCGGCACAGGCCCGGTTCCGCGGCGCTCTGTTTGCCGTACACACATACAGGCGCACATTACCGTACACGACCATTTGAACATCAAATAGTTGGTACACGCTCCCTGGAGCTTGCGTGAAGGAGGTTATGAGATGACGAGTCCTAAGATTTGCGACCAACTCTGGAAGTGTCCAGAAGGATGATAAGACCCCGATGCAGCCTCTACTGCCGCCCCAAGCTGGCAAGTTTGTAGGGGTTCCTGGGCGAGCATGTGTGGCCTCAGGCGCGCATGGCACCTGGTTCGACGGCTACCGAGCGCGCACGGCGCTGGGTGGACGGCTACAGGGCGGTTACGACACCTCACAAGAGACACCGACGTTTGTGACAACCCACCCTATCGCGCGTAGACTACCATAGCAATGGAATCAACGGCATTGCATTTCCGTACACTGCTACCACCGTACTGTCGTACGCTGCGCATACCCGTACCTGCACCCAGCAATCCTCCTCCCAGCGACCTTGAAACCTGACGTTGTCCGCGAAGACTGCGGTGCCATAACCGTCCCGCTTGTCGTACCGCCATTCGCCTGCAATTTGGGTACATGGGGTAGTACGGGCGTGGTTGGGATGGATGAGGAGGAGCACCGCAGTCTAAACATCAGGAAAACGCGGGATCTAAAGACGGAAGATACACCGGTGCGGCCGGCACTGTCTCTCTTCTGCCTGTCTGTCTGTCTGTCTTTCAGTTTAAAACGGCACGCCTCCTTGAACGACTCACCCTCGTACTTGTCGCCACTGCCGTACATGCAGCTGCCCGTGCCGTGCCGAACTCCATGTGCCCAATCGCCGACGTACTTGTCTCCACAGGCGTACGAGCAGGATCCTTTGCCATGCCGTACATTGTTGAACCAGTCGCCGGCATACAGGTTGCCTTGCGAGTCGCGCTCCTTTCCTGTGATGGAAATTACAGCATGGCGGCGCATTGGCGGTGGCGTACTGTGACAGAGGTCGTTTTCCGAGGCATGCCGCGACACCGGCGGTCCACAACACACAGCAACCTCCTCTCCTCTCCTGCCCCCTCTGCCTGCATTTCAATCCAACGTTCCAGCTGTAAATGTCTGTCCACTCATTCCCGTTTAACTTCGTTCGCTGTTTATCAACTTCTAGCCGAACGTCCAGCAGCCCTAATGCTCCACACCCCGCCCGGCGCCAATGGACTCAACTCACCTTCGCCCTGCCGCAACCCAGATACGAAGTCCCCGAAGTACCAAGCACCACCCGCATCCACGTCTGCCGCCGCCATTGTACGCGCGTGCCTGCCGTTGCCGTTGCCGTTGCTGCCGCAGCCGCCAGGACCAGCTCCGGTCGCACCCTCTAACATTCCATGGCCATGAACGGCGGGGCCTCTTCCATCCTCCTCCTCCTCTTCTCCCTCGTCATCCTCATCAGATACAGCCGCTAGCGCCGCCCGCTGCCGCCACTCACCCTTGCCGTGCCAGCGGCCGTCCCGCCACTCCCCAACGTAAGCGCTGCCGTCGGCGTAACTGCACTCCCCCCAGCCGCACTGCACGTCATCCTTCCAGGCTCCCCGGTACCGCAGCCTGCCAGCCACCACAAGAGTGCCTCGGCCGTGGCGCTGCTGGCCCTTGAAGCTGCGTAAAAGAATACGAGACAGTAGACCAGATCGGGACACACAGAAAAGGCGGCGGCAGGATAGGAAAGAAGAACGCAAAAAGATCAGCAGCGCTGGAAAGTTAGCGGCGACGGCGTGTTGTACGGCATACTGTGTCGTACCATGGGTCGTATATACTGTTGCTCGTGTACTGTGCTCGGTCCTACCTGCCGGTGTATGTGATGCTGCCATCTGCGGACTTCCGCGTGCCCCGCACCCGGGAGCCCCTCGCATAGCGCCCTTCAAAGTAAGATCCGTCCGCATGAGTGAAGTGACCCAGGCCTGCACGAACGACAGCAGCAGCAGCAGCAGCAGCAGCAAGAATAGCAACGAGAGTGCATTACAAGAGCTACGAACCATCAACTATCCGCACAATGGGACCTTTTGGGCGGGACTTTTAACCAGCTTGCCGTGAGACGCTGCAAAAACGATGCTGGCTGTCGATACTGTACAGCACTGTATCGTACCATGTACGGCATCGTTTTCCCACTGGCCCTCGTATATTTCGCCACCCGCTCCGCGCATGAGTCCCCAGCCATGCCGCTTGTTGGCCCGCCACTCGCCCTCGTACTGGCCACCCTCGGGGAAGTGAGCCCAGCCGATCCTGCCGGGGCGATGGCGGGTGGAGGAGCTGGCGTGTGGAGGAGGTGCCATGTACCACCTCTCCCCAGACGCCGCCAAATGGTGTAAAACGCAATTGCCCGGACCAGGGTGTGAGTGTGGGTGTGAGAGCGGGCAAAAGGATCACCGCCACCAACGCCTGTAAAACCCACAGCACGTACTTCGTGGGCGCTACAGGTTGCCTGTACAACACGACACTGCCGCCACGTCTCAGCACGAACAACACCGCACAGCGGGTTCGCGGGGGTTTACGATCAGACTGCGTATCGCAATGTGAGCGCAGGGAAGGGACTCCACGAGCTGTTCCTTATTAGCGTTGCTGAACAGAGCTATTAGCAACGGCAACACCTGCTGGCTGCCATCTAGGCAACGGCATCTCCCTCCCAATCCTTACAAACGCGAACACCCTGGGCCTAGACTTCTAGGACAGCCAGTATCAATGGTCCGCATCTCGCTGGTTTGGCGTGTATCTGTAAACGTCCTATAACCTAATACGAGCCTGTAGCCTCTTCTATAACCTCCTCTTCCTTTTCTCCCATCTGTCTCATCACATCTCTAGTCAGTCCTAAACGCACCCAAAGGCTGCCCGCCTTTGGCTCGTGACATTCGACTCTCCTCACCCCTCCGCCAAATCCGCCACCCAGCGACCCCGGTACTGAAATCCGTTTGCGTTGGTGTACGAGCCTTGGCCGTACCGCCGGCCGTGCCGCCATTGGCCGTCGTACGTCTCTCCCGTGCCGTACACCATGCGGCCCTGTCCGTGCGGTCGGCCGAGATCGTCTGTTGCGCCCTGTGACACCAGATAGGTAACGGCCGTACGGCACGAAACACCTCAAGGGGTGGGGGCCGGGTTGAAAAAGGGGGGGAAAGAGCCCATGCATGCAAGCGATTTCCCTGGCCAAGAGACGCCCCCATTTCTTAATCTGCCACTTCTCCTTCGCTTCCTCTGCATCAGCGAATGTACGACCTCGTACCTCATACATATCCGTCCCGCAGACTCTGTTCTGTATCCCTTGGTGTTGCTGTCTTAGTTCTTGTGGCTGTTGCTGCTGCTGCTGCTGCTGCTGTTCTTGAGCTACAGCCAGAGGCGGCTGCTTCTTTGTCGCATCGGTCGGCTGTAGCAGCGGCGGGGTCATCCTGTTGCCTTCTTCAGAGTCAGAGTCGAAGATGGACCGTCAACACGCTGGTCTGATCGCTGATGCTACTGCAAACAGCAGCCCTGAGGGCGTTGAGGGTCAGTTGCACGTGCGGCTGCTCTCTCCTGTTGCTGCTGATGTGAAAAAGGGACGGGACCGTGAGAACTAGACACTTTACGAGAGGGAGCGGAGGCAGCAAGCAGCGGTAGACGGAATTCGCGGAGGCAGCAGCGGTGAAAGATATAAACGGATCGGGCCACCCAACGTTTTCCGCGCCCACACGCCTCCTGTGCTGCGTGGCTGCCTTGTTCCGCTTTATGCCCCCCTCCCTTACCGTAAAGCGTAGCGTACTGCGAAATGGCGAGTGGTCGGGTCACACCAAGTTTTGTGTGCCTAGTACCTCGTACGCTGCTGCAACCTTTGCAACCGCGCGACGGGAAGGCAAAGAGATACCGCCTGGCGCCCCAGTGGGAGGATGTTGTTGTTGTGGTGGTGGTGGTGGCGGTGGTGGTGATTTCAGTGATGCTGACGGGGGGCTCTGTCAGCCTGCCGGCCGGGAAGGCTATCTCTTCCGTTGGACAAGTGCAGCCTTGGTCGCGGGTGTGTATTTGTGTGTGTGTGTGCTTTGCGCGAGTTAGTCTTCTTGGTGATGAGGCCCAATCGATGCTGCTAGGATATGTATAGTACTACTCGTATTCCTCAACGACTCCTTGGCTAAAGTTTTCTGCGTTTTCTTCTCTCCTAAAGCACCGCATGCGCGTCCTCCGTGCGCAGCAGTCGGCCCTTCCCAGACTGGAGGGGGGACCCACACTCTCGGATGCTCCCCTGCCTCGGACACCTCCCGTGTGATAAACCCAACAAAACCGCCGAAATGCAGGAACCTGCCCTGTAAGGCGTCTGCTACCTAAAAGTAACACAAGGAAAGGAAAAGACAACTTTAGTTTCCGGAAAGCAAAAGATAATCATAGTTGGTTATGGCACTTATTATAATGCTATTAATTGGGAGGGCAGGGAACCGCTGTGTACACGCCCACCGTTTCCTCCTCTAGGCGCCTGTCAGACTGCAGTTGGGTCGCGGGCTGAGGAACACTTCCACCTCGCGCTCCCAAACCGACTTCCCAGAAGCTTTGGCCCAGAAGGCTTTCGAAAGAGAGGACTTGCGTGCCGAAAAGAAAGAGCCCTCTGGATTTGCTGGCGCACGAGGGCGCGCAAGGGAAACGGTTTTCAGTGCTTTTGATGACGGACGGGAGAGAGCGCCGGCGCTCCATCGTCCCCTCCGGATTCGGACACCCGCGACAAGCCCCTAATTGGGCGGGATATGAGCTTAAATAGGAACGGACTTCCGCGTTCTTAGTCTCCCGCGCGAAAGAGGTCATCAGCACCAAATCAGCACGACGGCCGCTTCACTGGTTAGCAGTTAGTACCGTTCGCAGGTTTTCCTCGTAACAACCGTCGTACAATACAACCGCCTTTCCTAACGAAAGAATCCTAACCACCACCGGGTCCTACCGACGTCCCGGTCGCAACCTTCGTTCCGGAGTACGGCAATATGAGGATTAAGACCCCGGGCAGTGCGACCACGTACCAGGGCGCCGAGCTCCTCCCTCTCTTCCCCCCGCATACACACGCATACAAATTTAGGCACGCTTGCCATCCTGCTGCATAAAGGGACCACCACCAGGCGCACACACACAGACACACACACACACGCAACGTGCACAGCCGTTCCCCCCCCCAACACACACACACATCAGCATCCTCCGTGGAGCCCGGCACAAGCGCAAAACACGTCGGCACAAGCGCAAAACACGTCGGCACAAGCGCAAAACACGTCGGCACAAGCGCAAAACACGTCGGCACAAGCGCAAAACACGTCGGCACAAGCGCAAAACCAACCGCGTGAAAGATAACACACAATCCCGCCCACCCCCCTTCCCCCACCAGCCCCAAAATACCCTCCCCCCCGAAGCCGCACGTACGGCCCCCTTCCCAATGCACCAAAGTGCTGTACGGGAAATGGCCCCTGGCCCCTCCCGGGACAAAACCAGCCCGGCCTGTGTCGGGCGCACTCACACACCCCAAGCCAGAGGGACACACGCGCACACGCACACAAGCCCGTTTGCGGTGCAGATCACAATGACGACCTCTTCTCTCCTCCACCACACACGCACAACCACACGCACACGCACACACTCAAAAAAGTCCTCCTGCCCTCTACTTCCGTCTGCTCTTCCGCTGCGGCTTCACCTCGTTGGGGTTGTTCTTCCAGGAGGTGGCCACTAGCCCGGGGGGCGCCTGCGAGGGCGAGCGGGGGCCCGGGGGAAGAGGGGGTTGGTTGGGGGACATGTGGCAGGAAGAACCACTGGGCGGGGGGTGGAGAGGGGAGACGGGAGAGGGATGAATGCGAAAGTTGTCTTCAGGGTCAGCTGCATGCACAGAATGAGGATGTGCAGAGAGGTGCCGACGGACGCAAGGAAGCGGGGAATCCTGAAGCTGTTTAGGAGAGGGAGAGGGAGGCGAGGATACGGGGAGAGGGGTTTTAGGGTATTTTCCCCCCCCACCCCAACCCCCCCGGGTAACCTCCCAAGCAAACCCCCACTCATCCCACACCACTCAAACCCCAGCCCCACCACGACATGTGGTGGTAGTGAGCCTGCGAACCCGGAGCTCACCGCGCCTCCACGCCCGCCGCCGCTCCTGCCGCCCTGCCGGTGCCCGCTCTCACTGCCAAACTCCGGGGCGAGTGGGTCCGCCGTCTCGCCACTAACCCCGGCCGCTGCCGCCGCCTTCTTGGCCGCCCCGCCAGCCCGGGGCTTCAGGCCGCCGGTGCGAGCCAGGAACACGTCCTCTCGGAGCACTGGATTGGAGCGGGCGCCGCGGCCGCCCTGGTTGGTGGGTAGGTGAGGTAGGAAGGCGAGGTAGGTACTGTGAGCGTGTGAGGATAAACGATGCGGGTGCGGGTGCGGGCTGCACGAGAGCTCTGGACTCGCAGAGACGTGACGGGAAGAACGCTGAGCGCAGCAAACCAACAACGGTGACCAAGTACAACCCCAACAACGAATGAGCAGATGTAAATGCAAATACACGTTTCACCTCCCCCTCACAATGCCCCCCTCACCCCCCCTCCCCCTTGGTTGTGTGGTGTGGTGTGGTGTTGCGGTGACATCCAACCGGTGTCTCTCTCACCTTGGGTTTGGGCAGTGAATACCGGGTGCCCCGCAGTACGAACTTCTTCCGTACACCGAAGAACTCGGCTCCCCCCGGCCCCACCGTCACCTCCACGCGGTCCAGGGTCATGTTGCCGCAGCGGGGGCAGAACAGCCGACCCGCCTCCTTGGTCACGAAGAAACACGCGGAGCAGCGGAGAGCCCAACGATTCACCCTGGCAGCAACCGGGGTCGGGGACGCAGTGAAAGGAGGAAGCGAGTCGGGGTTCGGCAAGACGTTTGTTTGTTTGTTTGTTTGTGTTGGAAGGTAAAGAGCTGAGGTTAAGGCCCACTCCAGGCAAAGTATGGGCGTATGGGAAAGCGGTCGGCGTGGCTGGGTAGGTGTTCTAGAGGGTCCAGAGAGACGGGCCTAAATGCACCCAGCACCCCAGCATGGAGGGTGAGGGTGACGGCTGTCAGCCCCTGGCAGAGGTCAAGGGGGCTATGTACCGGAAACAGCACGCTGGGTGTATATGTATGTATGTTGTTACAGGGTGGTTAACTTCGCCAGCGGCCCCCTTTCCCGGGGCAGTCCCTGCTCTCCCCTGCTAGAGGGGCACCCTAATCCGTCACCCCATCCGACTTCAGAATATATTCGTTGGGTTCGGCAACTCACCACCAGCATCCAACCAAATCTAGCGGATCAACGGCGCATCAACTTAGTTCCTGGTCAGCTCGCAAGTTGATATTATCACGTCCTACACCGTCCATATGATGGGGGGCCACCTCCCATTTCATCACTCCTCAAACACCCGAGGAGCCGGCAGGCGGATTTGAACCCGGGTCGACTGGGTCGACTGGGAGCAGAAGTCAGGCCTTAACTTCTGCCAGCCGCCTGCCGTATATGGCATATGTTTGGAGGCGAGATCCGGTTACCAGGAGCCCTCAGGACTGCTCTGGCTGCTAGCTCCCGGATGAGCAAGTAACCCCTCTTACTTCCCCCCTCCCCTACCGCCGGCCCCTCCCCCCGTTGCATCCCCCCTCCCCCCTCCCCGCTCCCTGCTCCTCAACCCCGGCTCTAAAGCCCATAACAGGTACACTCCAGCACGCGGCCTTTACCTCCTTTACCCTTTCCCCCTTCCTCCCCCTCCCCCCTCCCCCTCCCCCCAGCCCGAGGTGCCTCACCTGGTGATTTGCTTCCCGTCCCGGCTGACCAGTCTCAGACCCATCTGCAACATCACGTTCTGCATCGCGAAATCCGCGGTCACAGTGAACACGTTCGAGGTCGTGTTAGGGAGCAGCTCCAAATCCGTACCGGCCACTGAAGCTGCCGCCAACGTCTCCGTCTCCGTCGCCACCGTCCCCGTCACGTCGGTAACGCCAGTAGCTGTCGTACCAGCCTCGCTGACGCCATCTCCGTCTTCCTCGGCCTCCCCCAGCTCCCCCTCCCCCTCCTCCTCGTCATCGTACCCATCGTCAGTCACCAGCTCCAACCCCTCAATTTCCCCCTCGCCTTCCTCCTCCTCCTCGCCCTCCTCCTCCTCGCGCTCCTCTTCATGCACCTCCCCGTCAATCCCCTCCCCCTCCCCCTCCCCGCCCTCCACCGCAGCTCCATCCGGAACTGAGCCACCGCCACAACAGACCGCACAGGCGCCCTCATCTCCACCTCCTCCTCCTCCGTCACCGGCAACGGCCCCCGGAGACTCGCCTAAGCTTTGCTGCGGCTGCTGCCGCTGCTGTTGCGACTGCTGGGATGGTGCCAGAGCCGTCGTAGCAGCTGGTGCGGGTGCTGGTGCGGCCGGCGCCCGGTCCCCCGCCCCACCGGATGCCGAGGGCGCCTCCTCGGCCGCACTCCCCTCTGCGGCGGGAGGAGCAGGGCCACCTGCTACGACCTGCTGCTGCTGCTGCTGTTGTTGTCGATCAAGCCAGGCCTGGTGCCGCCGCGCCTTGCGCTGCTTCCGCCGCGCCACGTTACGGCTCTTGCACGCCGTCTCCCAGCCTCCGTCGTCCTCCTCCTCCTCCCCCTCCTCACCATGGCCACCGTGCTGCTCCTCCTCCTCCATCTCGCCACCGCCATCCCCACCCACACCAGCATCCTCAACACTTCCTGCCCCGCCATGCGTCTCAGCTTCTTGTTGTTGCTGCTGCGGCGGCTGCTGCGGCTGCTCCACAGGCGACAGCGCTCCGTCCGGTGCCGCCGCAGCAGCTGCCGCCGCCGCCGCGGCAGCGAAAGTCTGTTGCGGTTGCGGCTGCGGCAGTGGCAACCCCGGCAGCGGCAGCAGTTGCTGGAGGCCGTTGTGCCGCTGTGCTGCAGGTGCCGCTATCCCCCCTGCCCCCTCTACCCCTAGCCCTAACTCGAGCCCGTGTCCGGGTTCCCCCAGTGACAGGGACTGCACCGCTGCGATGATGCGGCTCTGACCCCCTGAGGAACGGGAGGTGGAGAGGGGGGAGAGGGGGAAGAGGGAATTACAGAGGGATGCAGAACTGAAAGGGGGGAAATCAGCTGCGACCGATGTCCCAAGCATAAGGAGTCCGAGACCGGGACCGGGGAGTTGGAGGGGGAGAGGGAGGGGTTTGAGCGGAGACCGAGAAGGGGGTGAGGTTGGAGACAGGCATGCGGGTGAGGTCGGTCCCAAGCGTGCGGCCGTGGGCCCCAAACACACACATGCACACACGCATGCACAGGTGGGGACCCTTCCCACCGGCCCCGTCCCAACCCGCCAACCCGCCTATTTTAGCCCAGCCGCCACACCACCCTCCTCCCTACCCGGGCCCCCCACACCGCCTAAGACACGCGCACACACACACACACAGTCTGCGGGCCCACTGAATTCCAGCACCCTCAATGCGACGCAAAGAACCCAGATATCAACAGCTCCGATAGCAGCGGTAGCAGCAGCAGCAACCGCTACATCTGTTCCGCAGAGAAGTGAAAACGCCGTACAACCTACCCGTCGCGTTCGTGAGCAGTTCCTCGGGCGCCTCATCCACCACCTTCCACTCCTCGGGGTTGGAGACGTGGCCCCAGCCGGGGAGGGGCCGGGGACGGGACCTGAGCTTGGGACGAGTGCGGACCTGAGAACCGCCGGCGCACAACCGCCGTCACGACAACCAGACGACAAGAAGAGAACGAGGTGGAGGAGGAGGAGAGAGCGGAAGACCGGAGCGGAAGAGAGGGAGCGAGGGCAGGTAGAGCTTTAAGCCAAGTGCCAAGTGATGGCGGGCGGGGTCAAGAGTGTGGGCGTTAGAGAAAGGAACTGCCCAACGGGACGGGCCTTTCCAGTCCGGGGGGAGGCGGGGGGAAGGGAGAGGGGAAGAGAGGGGAAAGACGAACCACACGCGATTTAAGCTGCTGCCAGAGTAAGAAAGTAGCAACCGAAAGAACTGACCGAAAGGCGTCCGTGGCGACTGTGACGACTGTAACCTCGGGGTGACGACTGTAACCTCGGGATGAAAATTTGACGTAGAAGTAGGAAGTCCTACCTACCTAAGCCGCCAGAAATAATATAGCCAAACCGTAAACTAGTAGGTGTAGAAAAAGTAGTGAAGGCGGCGAGAAATTTTTTTTTGACGTAGAAGTTGCGTAAAGTTGCTGACCAGGAGAGAAAGCTGCATTGCTGATACTGAAGGGCTGCCGGTATGCAAGTGTTCCTCCCAACCCCCCAAAAAAACTAGAACGCGCGACTGACCCGACCGACCCAAACTAAACTATTCCGGCTAGCCTACCGACGCCAACGCGAAATACCAAAGAAGCTCGAACCACCTTATTGGACTCACCTGGCCAGGCAGCAGGAGCAGCGGGCAAAGGCACATGCGAGGCAGAGAGGTGGCAAAATCGTGAGCAGCGAACGGAAAAAACAAAAACTCATGCAGATGCTGCTGAAAAGGCGTATAAAACTTGCTGACCGGGGAAGCTGGAATGAGAAAACCTAAAGAAACTATATGAAAATGGAAGAAAAGTCAGGAAGTAATAAAGAATTGCAAAGGCGGCGTAGGACGACACAGGTGGTGTCGTACGAGATGACCTAGTGACGCATTGGACGGGATGACGCATGGGACGGGATGACGCGTTGGACGGCGTATACGCCGGCAGAACAGGGTGAAGGCAAAACAGGGTGAAAGCAAAAAGGGAAGAGAGGGGAAGGGAAATACCGATGGCCGCCGCCGCCGCCGTCTGGTGGCTCCCGCTGGCTCCCTGCCATATGGCCCGGCCTGGTGACGGGGCGGGCTGCGGTGAACCCCCGTGAACCCTTCCAAGCCCGCGTATCGGACCTGGCCCCTCCTGAGTATTCAGTCCCACTGCCCGTACTGCCCCGCTTGCTCACCCGAAGCGCAATTGATGGGTGTCGGTTATTTACAATTACAAACTGTAAATAACGGTAATCGCATGTGTGGTCCTTCGTGTCGTAGAGCCCCCCGGTTCGCCTCCAGTTTGCCCCACAGCGAGTGGGCGTGGCCATTCCCCTCGCCTCCATCTTCCCCCCCTATACCCTCTCTCCCCCCCCCTACCCTCTCTCCCACCACGACCACCACCCCACACACTCCCCGTTCTCCATCTCTCTCCCCCCAGTGCTACCTGCACGGGGTGGTCCCGCAAGTGCGCGGTTCCGTGCGCCGCCACCTCCAGGGTGTGGGCCAGAGCCAGCAGCTTCACATCCACGGAGGACAGAGAGTGGATGTCGCCGGTCTCGCGGGCGAACCGCTGGACTAAGGATGCAGGTACGGGTACGGGTGCGGGTGCGGGCGGGAAGGGGAGGGGAAGGGGGAGAGGGGAGGGAGGCGGAGGCGTTGGGGAAGGGGCTGAAGGGGGAGGCTGCCCCTATTTCTCAGAGCCATGTGGATTGGAGGCATGATGAGATGCAGGTATGCAGGAACGGGCGTGTGGATGTTGTAAAATGGTGTTGTGAGCGAGGCTGTATGCGCCAGCGGGGAGTGTGTTTGCGTAAGGTCAGATGCACGGAGCGAGTTTGCGAGCAAGTGACGGTGAAGAAGTTGAGCTGGATGCTGACCTGCTCGGATAGATTCGTCGCTTGGTTCACGGATGTCCAAGGAGAAAGGCAGGGTCGACAGGAAGGTGCGGGATTGCTTGTCTCGAACCTCCGCGATGACCTCGGGGATGGTGCAGAGGCGGTCTGCAAGGAGCTCTAAGCGCAACCCGCTAATAATTGCGTTTGCATCTATGACAGCTATGCGTTCCGTTGCGCTGGGAGGGGGCGCCTCTGTCGGGGCGGCTGGCGCCGTCGCCGACTTCGCGACGGCAGCCCAGGACATGATAGGAAAGCACGTAGAAGCTGATAATGGTTTTTGCGATTGATGATACGAAGAACTTCAATACAGTGCCCTTAACCGGCCAGTCGCAGTCAAGGTACAGCCCTCCTGGGTAGCACTAAAACCACATCATACTAGCTAAACGAGGCATTTAATCCTTACACGAGCATATTCCTTAAGAAATTGATGCATACAGGAGGCGTTCGTTACGCGCTCCGAGTCCGCTCCGGGACCGTTTCTCACAGAGAGAACAGGTAACTTGCTTGCAGCTCAGAGCTTCTTGATGTATTCATAATTAACTGAGCATAACCTGTGCTCTAGCTGTGAGTGCTAACGACGCCTGCGTCACTGGCCAAAAGCTCGGATCGTCCAAACGGCGAATCATGCAGTCGGAGGCAGCCGGTGGAATTGTATGCGCCGTCGTCGCTGTCATTGTGTACTTGAACACCATCCCTGCGAACTTTGCGTTTGACGACAGCTTCGCTGTGGTGAGTTTATTTCTTGCGTTACATGGCCACCTGCAGACTTCATAATTTGGTAGTCATCAAGGTCAGATGTGGTATAAGGCTTTCCCAGGACGTTACGCATGTGCGGGAAGTTGGACGGTCGCAGTAGCAAGCCCACCATCACCGCATGCAATTGCCATACATAAAATCCATGAATTTGGAGGATTATGTTTTCACACTCGGAAACTTTCCGCAAATTCCAACGCGGTCCTGAGCTGTTACCTATCATTCGTTGACCGATGGCGACGCCGGCCGTCCGCGTCCAGCTCGCCAGACCCAGGGACAGAGTCCATCTGCGCCTCCGCCACCCGACCCATTCAACCTTGCAAATCTGCATACATACATGCATACAATTACTATTATGGCCGTCATGCGCGTCCCCCGGAGCCTCGGTCCCCCCTACCTGCGCCACACGGGCCGACATCGAACCAGCACCGTGCCCTACACCCTCCTCGGGCAGATTCATAATGGCGACGTCACCAACGACTCCAACTCCCTGTGGAGCCTCCTGGTCCATGACTTCTGGTGAGGGCCACACTGCCCCTGCCCTGAACCGAACTGCCCCTGTGCCGTCCCTGCCCTGCACGGCTCCATGGCTCCATGGCTCCGACACAAGCACATGATATCGTCATCCGTAGTGAGCGAGTCTCCCCCAACCCGCCTGATTGCGCCACCTCCCCACGCCCACCTCTTTACATCCAGCCATCCATGCATCCATGCGCGCATGCATGTATGATGTGTGGGACAGGGGGGCGTATCTTCACCCATGGCCGCTACCCGGCGAAACCCTGTCTTCCACGGTGTTTCGAGGCACCCTCATCCATTCACCCTAGTCAACTTCTCAGTGGATCGCTCAGGTTCCGCAGCCACCACCGGCATCCAACGGAATCTGCCGGATCGACGGCGGCTCAACTCCATTCCTGGTCAGCTCGCAAGATCACTTTATCCCAGGTCACCACCGTCCATCGACTAGGGCCACTTTACCTTCCACCATCGGAAGGATTTTCGACCCTGACAGGTCTCGATCCCGGGATCTATGTAAATATTCATGTATGTATGTATGTACGCACAGGGGTCAGCGCATCTCCTCCGAACAGAGCCACAAGTCCTGGCGGCCGCTCACGGTGCTCTCCTTCCGGATGGTTCGGAAGATCTGGGGGGCGCTGCCGGAGCACTGGCGGAGCAGTGTCGTAGGTGGGTGGTTAGCCGGTTAGCCGGTAGGGGTAAGGCCGGTAGGAGGTGGCTGGGTGGGTGGGGGGGGGCGCCGGCTGGAGGGGGCCCGGTAGCGGTTGGGCGTGGAAGGGGCGGGTCGGCTGGTCCATTGTCCGAGCCAACTCTTCCGCAAGGCCCTCCGGAGAAGGGGCCCCACAAGCCGTCATCGCCACCTCGCCTTCCGCTGTCCGCGGTGTGTGTTCGCTATGTGGCGGAACAGCCCCCTCTTGGTGGGGAAAGCGGGAACATGTGCATAGGGGGGGTTGGCCCTTTGGTCCGCCTCTGTCAGTGGACTGTCGTACTGCGGTCTCCCTTGTAACAATTGCAGGGGAGAGGATGGGGGAGCAGCACAGGGAGAAAACACCCACACGCGCGCACAGCAATGGCCGTTTAGACACCCGGGGGGGAAGCGAGGGGGCAAGACAGGGAGGCGGCCATATGGAAGGTGCTTCCGGGCAACAGCAGCAGTAGCAGCAGTAGTAGCAGCAGTAGTAGCAGTAGCAGTGGCAGCAACAGTAGCAGCAATAGTAGTTGCAGCACCAGGATTAGCAACAGCAGCAGTAGCAGCAATAACACCACCAGTAGCAGCACCAACAACAACAGCACTAGCAGCAACAGCACTAGCAGCAACAGCACTAGCAGCAACAGCACTAGCAGCAACAGCAGCACAGCACTAGCAGTAACAGCACTAGCAGCAACAGCACTAGCAATAACAGCAGCAACAGTACTAGCAGTAACAGCAGCACAGCACTACAGTTAGAGATCCGAGGGTCGGTCACATTTCCATAACCCCTTGTAAACCCCTGCCTATACCCCACCCCACCCCACCCCGCCTTCCTCCCAACCCTCCCCATTACGCCGCCCTCCTAACCTCCCCCCTCCGGGTGTGTGTAACCCCTCCCACCCATCCCCGCAGACCGCCGCCTTCGGACCCGGCTGCCGTACGAGGAGGACGAGGCAGCCAAGCGGGGTCTGGACCCGCTGCTATTCCACGTCAGCAATGTGGTGGTGCACGCGGTGGTGAGCGCGGCCGTGTGCAGGTGTGTGTGTATGTATGTAGGGGGGTGTTAAGGGGTAAGGGGAAGGGAGAGAGGACGTGGGGCATGGCAAGGGACGCGGTGTTGAAGAAAGTTGGAAGGAAGGGCGCGACAGGATGCCGAGGAGAGCAGCTAACTCACCCCGAGGACGCGATTGCCCGGGTGGGACGGGAAGGGGGGAGGTGGGCGGAGTAGAGCCGGATCGAAGTGGGGTTGCTGGCAGGTACGGACAGCTGGGTGAAGTGTACTGCTGTACAGGCAGCCAGGAACGAGGTGGGGAAGGAGGGGCCCCCGGGGGCCGTAGGGTGGCTTGTCGGGAAGCCGTTAGGGGCCGTTGGGCGGCTGTACGGGCCGGTGTGGGCCTTCGGGGGCTCAAGGAGTGAGCAGCAGAGCGGGGGTTGGGGCCTCGGCGGATGGTGGTGCGGTGGTGCGGTGGTGCGGTGGTGCGGTGGGAGGATAGTTAGCCCGGCGGATGGAACAGCGGCGAGGGGGGGCTTAAGGCATTGCGAACCTGACCCGCTACCAACCGCCATTTCATGTCGCCACCGTTGGCCAGGTCGCTCTCTTCTACCCCTACCTCCCCCGGCAACCCCCGGCCCTTACCCCCTCGTCCCCCACCAGGTTGTCGTACTACTTACTGCGGCTACGTTGGCGTCCGAGGCCGCTACTGTTACTGGCGAGGACGCCGGGGCCGCCGCCGGAGGAAACACGCCCAAGACGGCGGAGTTGGGAGCAGCAGCAGCGGGAGCAGCAGCAGCAGCAGCGGGTGCAACACGTGTCAAGACTAAGGGCCCAACGACCCACCTCCTCCGACGGCGACGCAGCCGCCGGAGAAACCCCGAAGGTGGGGAACAGCAGCTGGGCATTGGGGGCGGAGGAGGCAAGCGCTCGGCAAGTCGGTCTTAGGCAGCGCCGGAAGCCGGCGGCCGCCGCCGCGGCGCCAGGTGTGCCGCCGCTGCCTAGCGTACCCAGGAGCGAGCCACGTCATTGTCGCTGGGACGAAACTGCGGCAGAGCCGGAGACACGCGCTCGCCTCCAGCGGCGGCTGCACATCCCCGCCTGGTTCAGCGGTTTGGCGTTTGCCGTACATCCCGTACACACAGAGGCGGTGGCGGGAGTGGTGGGCCACGCGGAGCTGCTGTGCGCCGCGCTGGCCGTACCTGCCGTGATGTTGTACGTGGGCGCTGCTCAGGCCGCTGCGACGTCTCGTGCCACTGGGCGGTGGACCCGTGGGTCGGTGGCGGCGCACTGGGCCGCCGTCACTGCTGCCGCGGCGCTGGCGGCCGCTGCGGCGCTCGCCAAGGAGATTGGCATTACAGTGCTGGGCTGCATGCTGGCCGCGGACGTCCTGCTCGTCCCATTGGTGGTCGTACAATCGTATGCCGAGAATTGTACGACACGGCCGGCGGCCTGGCGACGGCTTCTTCGTTTGTTGTCTTGGGCAGTAGTGGAGGAGCCAAAATTGCTGCGAATGTCAATGTTGGCGGCTGTGGGGGCTGGCTACGTCCGGTTCCGTAGCTGGGTGGCTGTGGACCAGCTAGTCCGAATCTACCGTAAGGTGGGCGATGGTGTTGACAGCTGCTGCTGGCTGGCTGGCTGGATGTGGCCCCTATTACCTGCCAAACTACGTTTCTCCCCTCTACCTCCGTGCGCATCCTCCTTCCATAAGGCCTCTGTCCTCTTGCGTCCTGCCCTTCGCCGCTCCTCCTGTGACTCCGAAACCTTCCTGCCGCTGATCCAGAGGCGGCTCCCCTCTCCCTTTCACCTCTCCCCTTCGGCTGCGCCTGACGGGCCCCAGGTTGAGAACCCCATTGCCTTCTCCTCATCCCCAATGGAGAGAGTGTTAACCACCGGCTACCTACATGCCAGATACGCGGGGCTGTTGCTGTGGCCGCAACATCTGGCAGCCGACTGGTCCTTCGAATGCGTGCCCATGGTGGCGCAGCTCGCCGACCCGCGGAACGCCCTCACGACGGTGCTGTACGCGGGTATGACGGCGGTGGTGCTGGCGGCGAGACCCTGGAGTGTGCTGGCGACATGGCGCCGCGCCGCCGCCGCGGTAACGGTGGCGAGCTCGTCGGCGGTACAGCCGGCAGAGGCGATACGGCCGGCACGCGCCTTGCAGCCGCCGTCGGCAGCAGCGGCGGCGGCGGCGGGAGACGATGATGATGATGATGATGATGATGATGATCAGCAGCAGCAGCAGCAGCAGCAGCAGCGGCAGACAAGATCGTGTGAGGAAGGCGGCGGGGAAGTAGATGTTGGCACTGCCAAGGATGCTGATGCTGAGGGTGCTGATGCTGCTACGCGATTGTGGGCGGCTCGCTGGCGGCTGTTCGTGCTGACGGGTCTATTGGTGGGGCCTTTCTTCCCGGCCTCCAACGTGCTGTTCTATGTGGGCACATTCATAGGTGAGCGAAAGCTTGGGGGGTGAGAATAGGGGTGTTGTTTGTGCATCTGTGGGGTTGAGAGGGGTAAATAAGCTGCTAGCCGCGGAGGAACCCTGTGGGGGTTATGGGGGGCTGGCAGACGTGGCGACGGGGGGGGGTCTTCCACCGTCTTCCACCGCAGCAGGGAACTGAGCGGCGTCGGGGGGCTCGGGTGAGCGACTGGGCTGGACGGGCCGCGGTAGACTGGGAATGAGGCGTCCCAGAAGGTGAGGGGGGTAGGAGGCAGGGGCAGGGGCATCGGCTCCTGAATGCCGAGTGTGCAGCCTCAACTTGGATCTGAAGGCCCATCGGGTCTAGTTCATCTGCAATCCAGGGGTGTCAGCGCAATGCAGTGGTACCGGACGTCCCTCTCCTCACACTCCGTCAACCACATACATTTTCACACACCACGCATGGGCCCGAATTAGGGTAGGACTCCCTTGTCGCCGCGCCCTCCCCTGCCCCCCACCTCCTATCACTGCCAGTATCACATCATCACACAGCTCTCTTCGGGTTCGGACTTCCCCACCCCGCCCCGCAACCCCACCCCCTTATACTGGGTCTTACCAACCCGCCTTCTTGCCAACAGGCGAGCGGCTACTGTACCTTCCCTCCATCGGTTTCTGCCTTCTGGTTTCGGAGCTGCTGTCTACAATGCTGACGCGGACAGCCGAGGGCCGGGAGGGGGCAGAGGAGGAGGTGCGGGAAGAGGAGGAGGAGGAGGAGGGTGTCTCGATGGCCACAGAGCTGCCTTCGCAGCCACCAATGCCAGCTGCAGCTGCGGTTGCCAGCAGCACCACCACCCCGGGGCCAGCCCTTCTTCCTGCCGCTGTCCGGGACAGCAGCAACGGCGCCATCGCCTCAGCTTCTGCTGCGGTTGCGGCTGCTGCTGCTGCTGCTGCTGCAGTTCCAGCCAGCCGCGGCCCTGCGGTTGCAGCTGCACGGCTTTCGGGGCCGTGTGCTGACCGTAGGAGCAATGCGGGGTACAGCAGCCAGAGAAAAGCTGCCGTGACAGCGAGCAGGGCGGTGAGGAAACTCACCTACGCTTTCACGGCTGTCGTACTTGTGTTGTACGCCGTACGCACATGGGACCGAAACTGGGACTGGAGTACGGAAGAGGCGCTGTTCGAGTCCGCTGGCAAGGTAGGCTAGGATTAGCCCTCCCTTGGGCTGTTATTGGTGCGTGTGTTCGACCACATCTCCCCATAGTGCCGACCTTGGATTTCACAATGCGATTACGGGGTGCTTGTAACATTACTAGTTTAAAACACGAAGTGTGCTCACGGGAATCAACGGCTCGCATACCCTTTTCTCCGCATCCAACTAACAAATAGATAAGTGGCTGCTCTCTTTTCGTAATATGCTTCCTGTTGAGTGAAGCTCCCCATACATACCCTTCCGGTTGTATCTGCAGGTGTGTCCGGGCAGCGCCAAGGTGCAGCTCAACCTCGGCATCCTGGAGCGGCGCAGAGGCGACCTGCAAGCCGCGCTGCGGCACTTCAAGGCGGCCAAGTCCATCGAGCCTGGCTACTGCGAACCCAGCTACTGGATCGGAATTTCATTGATCAACGCGGGTGGGTGGGTGGAAATCTAGGGTTAGATAGGTATTTGGTTGGATTAAGAGGGGTGGTATCTACACGGGCAGAATAGGCGAAATTGGTTGGGGTAGGACTAGATGGGCGAGGGGAAGGCAAAGGCACCGGTGTATAGCACGTCAAACGGTTCATGTCATGTACCTGGCAAAAGATATCAACATATTTCAGTAAGTCAAGGGGCGCAGCGCCGGTGCCGATTAGCATGTCAGGATTAAAGAGACAGTATCAGTTTTTTCAGATGACATCTAACCCTCTATCTATCGATATAATCATGTACCTGCCTTTGCAGTACCGATGCTCGTACGGGGGCTCGAACCCCGGACCTGCGGCTTGCTCGATGCATAAGACCACCGCTCTAACCGACTGAGCTATACGAGCTTGCCGATATACCCTAGGACACGGTTGATTACCCATCCCATACGTAGGAGCAGGGACGATAAGGGGATGGGGTAAGGAATCGAGAACCCCTGGGGCGGGGGGGGGATGTTAAGTCCGTCTACAGGGGCAATGGAACCCCGCCCGGACATGCAGCTGCTCAAGCCACACCAAGCACGGCCAGTCGCCGGAAAGGCCATTCCTCGAATAACAGGAGGGTTTGATGCGAAGCGTGGGCCAGTCACGGAAATGCGGACGGGGGGTTTGGTCGTGGCTGGAAGATGCGTTCAGTCGATGACTGAAGCGTACCCAAGTATGCAAAACTTGATCCGTACTGCGTACCTCTGATTGAATGTACAGCCAGAGATGTGAGCCTGATGGCACCTGAGGGCTGGTGCCTGAGGGCGCGTTGGTCGGTCATCCAACCACATGCCAGTGGACGTTTTTGAGACACTGGCAACCTCGATAGGGAGCGATTAATATCGACTAAGACACACGCGGGTTAATGGGTCTTGGAGTAAACTTTATTACTGCACAACAAACAGTACAAGCTTAAAAGCACATTGGTCGTTGTCCATCCACTTGCAACTTTGTCAAATTCCTGCCTTTGTATGTATACTGCTTGTATTTTAGTAGTAGTAGGCATTACATCGGGCCCCAGACCCCGAGGGAACACCCCAGGGCAGTAGGGCCATCGGACCACAACGGACTGGCTTGCACTAGGAATTTATATTTCTATTTGCCTCGCAGAAACAAACGTGTTATTTGAGTTTTGGGCTAAAGTCTTGGGAAGGAGGGAGAAGTGATGCCGGGAGGGTGTGCGTGCACAAAGGTATTACAACGTACGGCGGCGGGAGTACGACATCAGATACCCTCGCATTTTCCTTCTTCGAAAGGTCACATTAGAGTTCGTATGGATATCTACTTGGGTTATTACATATCTATTATTACTTAGGATATTACAAATTTATTATGTTAGTGATAGTATTCTTATCAGTTATTGATATGAAGATTCCTCTCTCACGATTGTGTCTATCCTCCTCTCAAGCCTCGGAGATAACAAGTACGGATGCTCATACGGGGGCTCGAACCCCGGACCTGCGGCTTGCTCGATGCATAAGACCACCGCTCTAACCGACTGAGCTATACGAGCTTGCTAAAACAAGGTTGAGGGCACTACAGTTCCCAAAGTAGGAAGCATGAATCCCGTTAAGGGGATGGGGTAAGGAATCGAGAACCCCTGGGGCGGGGGGATGGATGTTAAGTCCGTCTACAGGGGCAATGGAACCCCGCCCGGACATGCAGCTGCTCAAGCCACACCAAGCACGGCCAGTCGCCGGAAAGCCATTCCTCGAATAACAGGAGTTTTGGTGCCAGGTCCAAAGTTTAAATCGGAATCGGGACACAAATGGTTTCGGGAGTGCAGCAGCTTAGGGTCCGAGTCCATCCCTGGCTGGTTAGTGGCCCGGTGCCACAATTGAATCAGAGTGACGCAATAGGGTTTATTGCGAAGCGTGGGCCAGTCACGGAAATGCGGACAGCGGTGGCTGGAAGATGCGTCCAGCCCATGACTGAAGGGCACCCAAGTATGCAAAATCTTGACCCGTACCTCTGATTGAATGTACAGCCAGAGATGTGAGCCTGATGGCACCTGAGGGCTGGTGCCCGAGGGCGGGTTGGTCGGTCATCCAACCACATGCCAGTGGACGTTTTTGAGACACTGGCAACCTCGATAGGGAGCGATTAATATCGACTAAGACACACGCGGGTTAATGGGTCTTGGAGTAAACTTTATTACTGCACAACGAACAGTGCAAGCTTAAAAGCAAATTGGTCGTTGTCCATCCACTTGCAACTTTGTCAAATTCCTGCCCTAAGCTACAAGTTACAAGTTACAAGTTCCGCACACAAGTGCGGGTGTGTCCGTAAAAGCCGGGGGGCCCATGGACGTTGTATTGGTATTGATGCGGGTACGCGGGAGGTCATTTTCATTCTCCCTAGTCCGCTTCAGGGCGAAGCGCCTCAGCGCGACGTGCCTGGCCTCCCAAATTTCCGAGAGGTACCTGGCCAATGCCAGGGGTGGCGCCTCAGTCATAGTGGTGCGCATGCTGCGCCCCGTAAGGACTAGGTCACCATCATACTTAGCCCGTATGCTCTTGTAAGCGGGACATTCTTCGAAAACATGCAACTCATCTTCAACCGCTCCACAGTCACAAAGCCTGTAGGTACGCGCGGTGCGCTCACGCCCATTAGGCCTATTAACCTCTAACTCCCAACAGCCTAACCGAAAACGCATGAGCACATGATGAAGTCGCTGGGGCATGGTCCCTTTAGTGTGCTCCAACCAATCGAGACGCGCACCCCTTGACGGGGCAGCTCACATCCAGTTCATATAGCGACACGCCTTGGCTCCGGTAATTCCTATGGGGAAGACGCGGGGGTCACCCAAGGTATTCGGGCACTCCCACCGTGCATCAAGCCGCTTGGCAAATACCTTAAGAATGCTCTCAACTGGAAATTTAAGGGTGGTGTGGTACGATATAAGATCATTACCGCGCGTATTAGTGGGGGGTTCCACTCCTAAGCTAGTAAGAAAGGCTAGTACCTTGCTTGCCCAACACTCAGTGACGCCCCCAAGTGCCAACTCCAGGTCAGCGACAAATGCCCGGTGACACAGCGTTCCCGGCCTCTTAACCACAGAGTTCCAAAACCTAAGTACAAGATTGGTCCAATGGAACTGGAGTGGCCTCTGTGACAGCTCGCGATATAGGGAAACCATAGTCGGGCTCCTCGCCCCAACTACGGTTCGCATGTAAGCACGCTGTTCCTGGACCATGGGATTAGCCATAGCACCTTCAAAATTCACATTAATGAAGTCAGGTCCCCAAACTTGCGCTCCATAAGAAAACACCGGTACAACTAGTGTATTGTAGAGAGACATACATAGCTTGGGGGTGGTAATTTTCTTATCACGACACAGGGTGCTGAGCCCTAACGTGGCCCGCCTCCCTGCTGTGAGTGGTTGCTTGGTACATGCTGAGAACTGCACTCCTGGGCCGTAGTGCAACCCGAGATACCGTGCCGTCTCGTTGCCGGTCAGCACCCGCAACCCCGCCCCACCTAACCGGTACTCAGCTTCAATAAGCCGCTTCCGCTCACGCGTAGCACCCCCAAAAATGAGGACCTCGCACTTGGCGGCATTCGCGGCCATACCCGTCGCTTTGCAGTAGGCTTCGAGTAGCCCCAGAAGGCATTCAGCTCTATCGTGCCCTGTCGCTACCAGTGACACATCGTCAACGAAAAGTAGATTAGTGAGTTCACCGCCCGCCAGGCTAACACTCTGCTCACGGAGGGTGCTCCATCGGCTAGGGAGGCATACACGGCAATTAGCATCATGGGCATCAATATAATGAGCGAATACTTCTATGAAGAGTCCAAAGAGGGTTACGCTAAGGGGGCACCCTTGCTTAACCCCACGCCCCACCTTGAATTCAGGTCCCAACTTATTTCCTAACTTGACCCGAAACTTCACGTCAGCTTAACTAGCCTTTAAATAATCGAGGATGCGCCCGTGTAGCCCATACGACATTAGGAAATCCCAAAGTGTCTCATGGTCAACGGAGTCGAACGCCTTACTAAAGTCAATTTGCATGATAATAAGCGGCCTGGCTCCGGCCACAGTGTGCTTCGAGATAAGATGCCTTAATGTAAACAAGTGATGCTCGGTGCCAAAACCATGCCTACATCCAGCCTGGCTAACGGCACGTAGCCTATTGCCCTCACAGTAATTATCTAATCGCCTTCCTATGATATTGGCATAAAGTTTGCACAGGGGACCCCCAACTGCGATTCCCCGGTAATTGTCACAGCATGACACGTCCCCTTTTTTGAATACGGGGGACAGGGTGCTAGTCGTGAATTCCCTCGGGTATTCAGCTCCGTATATGCGGTTGAATAGCACCGTTAAGTAAGGCGCCAATACAAGCACGGGCTGCTGCCCTTCAGTTTCCCTGATAGCGTACTTATAATACTCGGCCGGGGTTCCCTCCAGGCCCGCGGACTTATTGTTGCGCATAGCCTTAAGGCCACTAGCAATTTCATCCTCCGTAAAATCCTTGTTAAGCCAAGCAGCTAATTCCCGTCGGTGCGTCACCTGGTCCTCGTCCAGCCATCTAAACAAATACAGATCGTCACCACGGGTTCGCACGTGGTCCCCCACCGTACTACTGATCTGGCCCAATGTTGCTTATGTGCCCAGTGCTGATGGGATGGGCAGTGTTCGTCTGGTATGAAGAATCCATTATTCTCGTTATGGAGGTAAAGTTAGAGTTATATGGTATCGATGATAACCATGGCTCTCGCTAAGTAATGTATCCCGTCCACACATGGCCCACAGGTTAGGTAATGGTACGAATGCTCGTACGGGGGCTCGAACCCCGGACCTGCGGCTTGCTCGATGCATAAGACCACCGCTCTAACCGACTGAGCTATACGAGCATGTCAGTACAATATTTGAAAACCCTATAGTTCCCAAAGTAGGAAGCATGAATCCCGTTAAGGGGATGGGGTAAGGAATCGAGAACCCCTGCACGGGGGTGGGAGATGTTGAGTCCGTCTACAGGGGCAATGATACCCCGCCCGGACATGCAGCTGCTCAAGCCACACCAAGCACGGCCAGTCGCCGGAAAGGCCATTCCTCGAATAACAGGAGTTTTGGTGCCAGGTCCAAAGTTTAAATCGGAATCGGGACACAAATGGTTTCGGGAGTGCAGCAGTTTAGGGTCCGAGTCCATTCCTGGCTGGTTAGTGGCCCGGTGCCACAATTGAATCAGAGTGACGCAATAGGGTTTATTGCGAAGCGTGGGCCAGTCACGGAAATGCGGACAGCGGTGGCTGGAAGATGCGTCCAGCCCATGACTGAAGGGCACCCAAGTATGCAAAATCTTGACCCGTACCTCTGATTGAATGTACAGCCAGAGATGTGAGCCTGATGGCACCTGAGGGCTGGTGCCCGAGGGCGGGTTGGTCGGTCATCCAACCACATGCCAGTGGACGTTTTTGAGACACTGGCAACCTCGATAGGGAGCGATTAATATCGACTCCTTTTACCGCGGATCCGCCTTAGACACACGCGGGTTAATGGGTCTTGGAGTAAACTTTATTACTGCACAACGAACAGTGCAAGCTTAAAGGCAAATTGGTCGTTGTCCATCCACTTGCAACTTTATCAAATTCCTGTCCCTGTATGTATACTGCTTGTATTTTAGTAGTAGTAGGCATTTCATCGGGCCCCAAACCCCGAGGGAACTCCCCAGGGTAGTAGGGCCATCGGACCACTCCAGATGCATACTCAATGGTTTTCTTATTCTGTGGATACAAGTTTCCCCATTCCATAGAGTATGGGGCGACTGTCTACTGCTGTAACCCATCCATCACGTCAGCAAGAATGCTCGTACGGGGGCTCGAACCCCGGACCTGCGGCTTGCTCGAAGCATAAGACCACCGCTCTAACCGACTGAGCTATACGAGCTTGATGTACGAGTCCTACAACACAGTACTTATACGACTGCGTACGTAAGAAGAGGGACGATAGGGGGATGAGGGAGGATTGTAGAACCCCTGGGGGGGGGAGATGTTAAGTCCGTCTACAGTGGCAATGATACCCCGCCCGGACATGCAGCTTTGCTCAAGCCACACCAAGCACGTCCACTCGCCGAAAAGGCCATTCCTCGAATAACAGAATTTGTAATCTGACTGTAACCTATCCCACCTCACCCGGGCCTGCAATCGACCCCACCTATCCTAACATCAGGCGACCCCCACACGGGACTGATTCACTTGGAATCCGCCCTGGCCTGCAAGTATGTGGCAGCGGAGGCGCTCAGGTCACTGAACAAGATCTTCGCCGTCATGCTGTCAGCCAGTCCTCGGGATCCCAACCCAGTCATGGTCGGTGGGTTTGGAGAGAGGCATGGGGCCGGCAGAGACTGGGTGGCTGGCTTGCAACCATCATATCGGTATAGCGGGCAGATCACCACATGCGTACTGAGGAATATGCTGCGGCTGCAGTAAGCACGCATGTCCTTCCGCGCTGTGTCTAATTAGCACGCGGCCTCATGCGGCTTTCAGACGTCCGAAACGCTTGAACACCTCGCCCACCTGCAGGTCGAGGTGGTATCATCTGTCATCGACAGGGTCCGTGCCAGCTACTACACCATTGCTTGAACATGCACACACACACACCCTCCCTCTTTCCCTCAGCGCTGGGGCCTGTTGCTGCTGCGGCCGGAGGTGAACCAGCTGGGTCATGGCTGCGATACACTAGAGCAGGCCGCGCTAATGGCGGCGCAGCTGGGCGACCGGCAGGTATGTAGGTGTGCGGTGTGGAGTGTGGGTGTGCGGGAGTTCCTTGCATTTGTTAGGGCAAACGGTGACTTCCTATGTGTTTTCAGCAATGGCGGTGCTCGACCCGATAAGGATCACAGTGGTGCTCAAAGCAGAAAGGGCCTGAAGCAAAGGGTGGGCTGCGGAATAAGGAGCAGTGTATAGGGATACGGTGTGTACGGAGGAAGAGAGGTTAAGGCGATGTAGGTCATACGCGATCATCGTGACGTGCGCAGCATGCATGTCGAGTATATCCAAGTGTTCAGCTAAGGGATTTTGCCGTCGATGCGAATGAAGGCTTACTGCTCCTGACCAACAGCAAACACCGCCTAGGGAGGCGAAGCTGCACTCGCGGGATGCCAGCAGGCAGGGGCTGAGGAAGGGCAGGGTGGAGGTATGGGCTAACGTGGCACATTGGGCGACGAGCCCCAACGTTGACCCCAGTGAGGCGAACACGCAGTCTGAGGTTGAGGATGGTTGGCGAGGCCCAGGGCAGCAGGAGCGTGGCTGTGGGTGCGTGTGTGGTTCCGGAGGTAGCAGGAGGGCTGATGGAGGTATGTGTGGATTTCCATGTTATCCATACATCCCGCGAACTGATTATCGTTTTCCATCACCTCCCTCACTCCCTCAATTCCTTCCGCCCTTCCCTCCCTGGAGCCCATGTCGTTATTGGCGCTGCTACGCCTGGCGGGTGTCGCTATCCGCTGCGTGTGTTACGTACCGCGCTCTGGTCGGCTCTGCTCACTCCTGATGAACCTCACGCTGTCATTCATTCATTCAGGCAGGCAGGCAGGCAGGCAGGCAGGCAGGCAGTTACCCACTCGCCGACCCGTGCCCATGCAGGGCTCCGAGGGTGCTGTGCGGCTGTGTGTGGAGGCGCTGAGGCGGCGCCTGCCGGAGGGTAAGGGAACAACCACCAAGCGCAGGTGGCTAGGTGAAGGCTGGCGAGTAAGTATAGGCAGCGAGTGGAGACAGCAATCTTCTTTGGCAAATAACCTTGCTATTACTTTGTTTTTTCTTTCGGTAGAAGGGCCACAAAATTCATCAGATGCCCATCATAAATTACTTCATAAAGGCTATTGCTGGTCCGGGCTGGACTAGGCTGGACTAGGCTGAACTGCTTATTGCAACATGTTTTACCATTCCTAGTAATCCAGATTTCAAATATATGATTATATGTACTATATAGCTCCCTGAGCCCGACCCCCGATCAACTCCCCCGATGCTACTGCCACTGCTTTTACTGCTACTGCTTTCGCAGGTGGCACACCCATTGACCCTATGGAGCCATCCCAGCAGTTGCGCTGTGTAGAAGCACGTGTAGCTGTGTACCGGGAGATTGCTGCTGCCGCCGGGGCGCCTTCGGGCCGTGACCCAACAAGGCGCGTTGCGGCTGCGGTGTACGACTACATTCGGCAGCTAGATGCTGCGCCGTACTGCCGCATGCAGTTGTCCGCGTCTGCAGAGCAGGGCTCAGCCGCAACACCGCCGCACATGCACTTGGTGCACATGTAAGTAGGGTTAACATATCATTTGGTCCTCCGTTGGTACGACAATTATGTCGTACATGCAAACTTTGGCGACTTCATTGTGTGTTTGATAGAAGCCAAGTTATAACTTGGTTGGTTGAACGTTTCAACGTCAAAATGAAGAAGCGTTATGATACTCTCAGTTCCGCAATTCGAAACACCTCGCCCCGGCCGCGGATTTTCCTTCCCGCGAGCAATGATCCATCCCCTCTCTTAACTCAACCTAAACAGGCATCATGGAGCACCTAGCACCTAGCACCTAGCACCTAGCACCTAGCACCGCACCTAAACATTCCAGGCAGTGAAGCCGCTTACTTTTGAACCTTTTACCCCGGCCTCTTAGGATTCAATCCGCCGATCCGGAAGACCCGTGGCTCCAAGCCGAGTGGGGCCGTACACTCACAGCTGTGGGTCGTACACAGGTACGACGGTACGAAATTCGCCTGTGCAGGGACAACCCTGCACCCCTCGTCAGCGCCTTCAGGACTCCGCGATAGCTTGCTGGAGCAGGGTCCGCAGAAAAGTGCGGCAATTGCGACAGCAGTACAGCACCAGGAACGCCACGACCTGCCACCACCAGCCTACCCACCACTCCTATCCAACCCGCGTCCCTTGCCTTCCTCCCCGGCCCATCATTAGGAGGCCGTCCTGCATCTCTCCGTGGCTGCCATGTTGCTCCAGTCCCACATCTCCAAGCTCCAGAGCGGCCGGCAAGTCGTGCCGCCTCCCTCGTCCCAAGCCCCGCCAGCCCCACCAACCAGCAGGCAGGTCCGTAGCCTTGCAGCCTCCGGGCGAGTGCCGTTGGGCTCAGTCGAAGCGTTGGAAGGAATTGCATCCGCATGGGAGGACGCGGCGCGGCTGCAGCAGGGGCTGGGACGGGGGGACAGCACCCAGCATTGTGAGATGTGGGCCCGGGCAATGCAGGCGAGGAGGATCTTGGTGGCGATGACGGTGGCCCCGGGCGAGGGAGGGGGGCCGGCGGCGGCGGCGGCGGAGGTAGCACGGCAGAAGGCCGCGGAACGGGTGATAGTGGCGGAGATGCGACGAAGGGGATGCGGCGGCGGTGGTGAGGGAGGAGGTGGTGGGGATGATAGTGGCCACAGAGCACGGTGAGAGGTAGGTGGGGTTGGCCGTCTGCCTGACCCGCAAAGTGGCGCGGAAGTTGACACCTTTCTTCCAAATGGCCATCATGTGATTGTGGGACGCCGTGCCAGCAGGCCCGTTTTGGGTTTCGGATGCGTTGTCGGCATCTGGGGATGGTTCCCCTGCCCCACCTGCCTTCATGACGTGTACAGCAGCTGAGCACGCAGGAGCTTAGGGAGCGGCTGTAATGGATGTGTCGTACATGCTGGGAGGTCATGTCTTTCGGTGGGCGGACATATGCAGCTGCCCGACTGCTGCCGGACAGATGAGGACCTCTTCTTTCGCTCCATCTCAGGCAGTGAGGCTGTAAATATCTCCCGTGATGGTGACCAAATGGTGCTATTTTCGCCTTCCTCCCCACCGCAGTCGGAGCATGGCGAAAAAGTAACTGACGAGGGGGCTAGCTAGCGTGATTTTGTCGTTCGAAAAAATGGGAAAAATGGAAGGTCGACTCAAATTTCGCAGTGTAACTATAGAAGTCCTCGGGTTTAACTTGCCATTTCGTGTACGTGTGTGTCTGTGTGTGATATGTGTACGTATGTGTGCATGTGCATGTGCATGTTTGTTAAATTACATCCGCCGCAAATGTCCGGGGGAGTAGTCCGACCTAAACCCCTGAACCGTACTACATGATGAATGTGTAAACTAAATGTGGAGGATAATTAACAGCGTGCGGTAATTGGCGGCAGCATCAAGACGGACGGGCGGACGGATGGTGCGCGGCAGTGAGCCGCTCACCGCAGCGGTGTCCAGCCTACCAAGACTTTGCGGAAAGCGTTGTTGGAGTGGTTGCGGCAGGTTGGGCGAGGAAGCATGAAAACAAGCCGGTCGGAAAAGGCCCTACCCCGAGGTATGAGGGGTGTGTGAACGGCATATGTCCGCCCACCGGAAAAGGCCCTACCCCGAGGTATGAGGGGTATCCATTAAAAGGGGACTTACAGGATTAAAACGCCGCAGGGTAGCGTTGTGCCAGCCCGTGAAGCCCCAGGGCGCCACCCCCGTGAAGCATCACCACATGCGACCCCGCCACGGCTTCATTCTCGACTCCCCCAGCCACCCGTGGGTCCACGTCCAGTTCCCTACCATTGCTGGCATCGCCGCCGTTGCTGTCACCTCCACCATTACCACAGCTGATGCGACATCCACCCTCACCACCCTCACCACCACCATTACTACATGTAACAGCCACGTCCTCCCCTGATCCATCCTGGTGACCCACGGGTCGCAAAGCACCGGGATGTGCAGCTTCCAGGTTCGTCTCCGCGACTGCTTCCCTGGATGCCACCTCCCAGGCCGCCAGGCTGTAAATCGGATCCAGGCCGATACCGTACAACTGGGCAATCTGAAGGATAGAAGGCATATGACATATGACATATGACGTAGGAGAGGTAGGGAGGGGCAGGGGTGGGCACTGGACGGCTGATCAGATCACTGCATGGGGGGTCCTCTGAAGGGCAATCAGACAGGCAATCAGGATTATAGCTGATCAGCGCAGTCATTCAGCACGAAATGTATCATCGTTGCGACTGTAGTCAGGCGGGGGGATACAGCTCTGGACTATTTGGTCTTTTTTGGGGCACAAGCCGGGGCGGGGGAAGAAACAAGCACAAGCCCTTTCCTCGACCCCCCCGTCTCCTGTACAGGTCTCTACTCACTCCCCTCACTCCCACCCCTCCTCCTTCTCAATCCTCTCCACCCAATAGCCTGCTAGCTGTACCTGCTTGCACGTCGCGACCTCACCCTCCTGCACCCGCCCGAACCGGCGGGGAACCGGTCGACACACCCAACGAAGAGGCAGTGCTGCCGCCGCCGCCGCCGCCGCCGCAGCAGCAGCAGCAGCAACGTCCCCCACAGCACCGTCAACAGCGCCAATCCCTGACACCGACACTGGCACTGGCACTGATAGAGGTGCAGAGGCCTGCGCTGCCTCCGCTACCACCTTCAATGCCGGCCGTGCCGGTGTAGACACATCTTCAGATCTTGCCTCTTGTACTGATGACGCCGTACAACACCCCGGGTCTCCCTCCAATGCCATGGTGTTGATTGGATGACAGACGGCCACCTCCGGGGTGCTGTTGCTGGTGCTGGTGCCCGTGAACAGCTCATCGCCGTAGCGCTCTAAGAAGCCACGGACAAGCTGCTCCTGCTGGGATGTGTAGTACGACTGCTCACCAGCAAGCCTCACCGCATGAACTGTCCAGGGGAGCCCCAGCAGGGCGATACCCAGTGCCAGACCTGTGTGAGGTGTGAGGTGGTGACGATAATGATGAATTCGGGAGTTATGACTGCAGGACGGCAGATGGATAGAAGTGGTGAAAGGAAGAGCGAGACCACCGAAACAACCTGGGGTGTCTCACAGCCCCAGTCCCCAAACACACGTGTTGTGCCGTGCTGCGCCTTCCTCAGAGGGCGAAGACCAGTAATCAAAGAGACTAGACGCAAGCTGAGACAACAGCAACAGGAATATCTAATGTGTAATTGTTTGTTCACCTACCTGTTGCGAATATTAGCTTGTGTCTAATACCTCTCTCTCTCGGTGTGTATGTATGTATGTATGTATCTAGATACTACGAACATTATACCGCAAATTGTGCGGTTATGCTGGTGTACGACAAGGTGAGTGGATGGGCGCACTGTACGACATCTCTGCCAGGCTTATACACAGGCCGTGTTGATGTACACAGGAATGCCGCGGGCGTGATGATAGGTGTGAGGTAATGCAAGGACAGGGTTGCAGGGTGGGTCGGCGACCAATAGCCGCCCCGGGTGCGTTTCTCAATTAAATACTGAGGGGTGCGTTTCAAACTTAAAAGGGGGATGTCATTTCACATTCACCTCAAGGGAGGCCTCCTCCGACCTACGGCATCACGCACCGATAGCCGTAGTCCCAGTGCCTGAATCCACCACCAACTTGTACGGTGTTGTACTCGGATACGGCAGCTGCTGTACAGTGGCCAGTCGAGGGTTCAATACTCTATGCCCGTACGCATACTCCTCGCCATTGCACCTTGGCTGCGCTCTATGCACCGTGCCGCTCAACGAAGCACCGTCACAACTGCTCTCTCCATTGGCGCTCGCCAGCCAGTGCACGAGGCGCAGAAGCCCTAGAAGCGCTGGTGTGTCGCCGCCCCCCTCCGACACTACCGCCACCTGCGATGCCATCACACATGGCGCGTTTGCAATGCACGTGCCCATGTCCCCCCGCCCCCTTTAGTTTAGCGCGTTCGAGGGGTATTGAGGCATGGCTTAGGGAGGAGCGCAAAAGGGGGCGGCTGAGAAAAAGAAGTATATGCAGCCAGTCAATAAGAGGCAGCAGCTGGCGACATTCACGTTCGCAAACTGCCGACGGGAAACCCACCTCGGGAGAAGGGGGAGCGAGGGGGAAAAACCGTCTACACAGCTCAAGACGCGCAACACGCGGGTACGTGTTCCAGCAAACGGGGTCCCCAGTCCCCTTCGCTCCACACCGCATCAAACGCATGACTCACGGCTCCCACCCTGCCAGGTGCGACGCCAGGTGGACACACCGAGAAGCTGCGTGGTGGTGGTGGTGGTGCGTTAATGCCCCACCGTAACTTCCCGCAGCTCCACGTTCCACCTGCCCTACCTGCCCCACATTGCCCCCGGCCCTGACGTGCCCACAGAAGGGAATCGCCAGAAGGGAATAGCCCCTGACATACATACACACATACATGAGCCTCTAGGAATGTGTTACGAAACGGACCTGCGCGCCAGGTGTAGTCTCTTGGACCGTCCGCGCACGGGCGCTCAACATCGCGTGTCGGTCCGCGTACTCGGCACGGGAAACGTACGACACATCAGTGCCGTACATGCGGGTGACGAGATGATAGCCGGCGGGCACCTGTGGGCCCAGGGAGGCTGTGTATGTGTGTGTGGCGCTCGCGATTTCCTTCATAATAATATGGAACTATATAGAACTGTGCATCAACCATCCACCAAACATGCACACACGCACACACACATACACAGACACACACACAGACACACACACAGACACTGGCACTGACCCCCACACTAAGGGAACATCACATATCCCCCTCCTCCTTCTCCTCCTCCTCCCCCCCCCTCCTCCTCCCCCCTCCTCCACCTAAGCTCCACCTGCGGTGCCTCCCCCCGGACCAGCAGATGCGACCTCAGCCCCGTCTCCGCCGCCACCAGAGCCACTGCAGCAAGGTGGGCGCTCTGCACACCCCCGCAGGTCACCTGCGTAGACCCCCGTGCAGTGCAGTGCAGTGCAGTGTAGCCACCGCCGGTACACGATAGCGCATGACATAACGGACCACGGGCCACACGAGGGGTAATGTGGTGTATCAGCGCATCTTCCAGGACAGCCCACCGAGCAAATGTCGGCGAGGTGGAGTGGCGGCATGGCGCGGGTGGGCCCTATGGCAACATAGCAGGGCTTTCAATGATATATTGCCGTTAGGGGGACTGCAACTAACCTATACCAGTGCGGGGCGCTTCCTTCGCAACACCCGCCAGCGACCCTCTCCCCTCCACTCGCGGAGGCCAACACGTCGCACTACCGCACTACCGATCTGCTGTGCTGCGGCATTCCGTACCATGCGATGGTACGACAGTGTGATAGTGACACATCCTGCCTCACCAGGTCGGTGGCCCCCGCCTCCAGGAGCTCCGGAACCAGCGCGTCCAGCTTGCGAACCTGGCCACGTACCGGCCACCGACGTTGGAGAGGATGTGGCGGAAAGAGGCAAGGTGAGGTTACATGCGCAGGGGGGTAGTTGAAGGAAGGCGATGAGACAACTGTGGGAGACCTAGTTGCAGCCTCTAGTCGCTTTGTGGTTGGGTGCCCCTCCGGGGGTTTGGGTGCCCCTCCTGGGGGTTGGGTGCCCCTCCTGGGGGTTGAGCGGCGGCAGAAGGTGGCCGGACCGGTCATTCCGGTGCTGTCGTGATCCCGGGTGTGTGGGGTTTTCACACGGCTCCGCGGGCGCTGTTGCCTCCCTACACAATACATACACACCAGCAGCCCCCCCCCGCAGCCCTGCTGATATGGCCGTGGGCCTACATTACCTCCCTTCTTCCCTTTTATCCGCTTTTGTCCCCCCTTTTTCCCTCCCGGGCCCCACCTTTGTGTTCCCCTTAATTCCCCGCTCGACCATGCAATGAAGCTCTATCACCGTTCGGGTTTACGCCCCGTGCCCGGCCCGTGCCCCAGGCCCCCCTCACCTTGTTGCCCCCCAGGACGGGGTGCAGCAGGTCGTCCCTGATGAGGTAGAACGAGGGCACCACGGGGCTCAGCTGGGGCCCCGGGTCATCTCCCGGGTGTGCTGGGCTGTTGGAGCTGCCGCCACTACCGCCATTGCGGTCCGTGGGGCCACTGCTGCTGCTGCTGCTAGTGGTGGTGATGGTAGTGGTGGTGATGGTAGTGGCGGTGTTGCTGCCCTCGCTGCGGCTGAGGCCCCAGAAGGATGTGGCGCGGCAGCTGCCAGAGCCTGGGGGACTCGTGCTTAGGGTGTTGCAATTGTTGTTGCCATGGGTGCTGCTGCCGCTGCTGCTGCTGCTGCTGCTGCTGCTAGTGGTGATATTCGCGGCATCACGACCGCTGCTGTTCATGTGCATTGCGTTATCGTGGGTGTGGGAGACTGAGGTGGAGCGACTGTTGGGCGGAAGCTCTGACGGCTGGGAAGGGAGAGGCGGCGGGCGGTGCTGTGAGGGTGGGCTGGTAGTGAGTGGTAGCCGGACGAGCTGCAGCGGTGCTGCGGGACTGGGTCGTAGCCATTGCCGCCGCCGCAAGAAGGCGCTGAGAGCAGCTTCGGCATCTGGGAACGTGTTGGCGAGGCGCAAGCTCCGAGTGGCCACATTTTGGCGGCGACAGCCGCTGCTGATGCCTATGCCACGTACATCGTTAGTGAGGTATGTATAATGACATCGTGTTGATTCAGAATTGTGTGAATTTATAAGCGATTTTGCCATAAACCTTAGGCCTGGCATTCTTCCTTGAGGAGAGCATAAAGAACGGGCAACTGCCGCGTAGCTGCGCAGTGCAGAAAGCTGACACTGAATCCAGCGTTAACACGCGAAGTGAAGTACGCCACCGATGCTGTAAGGAGTCGCTGTCAAGTAAGGTTCCCGCGGTGCCTTCCTCGACGGGGCCTCTGTGTCTTGAAAATGGCTTGGTTGCTACTACTGCAAAATAGAGACAAAATTTGTTAAAGGTTATAAACTGATCAGAGGTTACGTGGAAAAAATCCCAAATGATTTGCCTTACTAATTGATTACTGATAACTGACCTGACGCACGGCCCTACCGCTCAAGGGTTCCTCCTCCCTGAGCAGAGAGGCTAGCAGCCCTCAAGATCGAGAAACAACGAGAAACACTCGCAAATGAAGACTGCGTCAGGCGTGCGCTAACTGCCGACAAGCTGCCGACACTACTAAAGCGACAAGAGCTCATCCATAGGGTCACAGGCCTTGGTGCGAAAGAGTTTTCACCTTCTGTCTGCATGTTTTTTCAGTTAGCGTTGAGGTGTCAGGGGTTTGAGGAACTGTTCGGCATCATAAAGGGCCTGTACGATCCGAGAATATAGTCGTCAACGCGAATTATCACCAATCGGTGCAATCGTAACCCAAGTGGGTCTACCAGTGACAAGTGTCACGATTATAGCAAGAGCGCTATAACCCCCCAGTATCACGCGTGATAAAAGATAGGCAAGTGCCCAATGGTTAACCAAGTAAGAGCGAAGATAATGCCAAGTGGCGAAGTGTCAGAGTCTCGGGGAAAATCCGAAGGTAAATATGCAAGTATGCCACAACACTGCTTGAGATGGACGGCTACAGCACCCTTGTAGATGGGGCTGTGATTGGGGTACTCAAGTTGCCAAGGATCACCGACAAAGAGGCCAGGATATCAGCAAAGCAGCTACCTTGCTGTGTACCGAAAGCAGGATCCACATCAGAGCGGCCATGGTGGACACGCAGGCAAGTTTTGGCCAGGTGGTCCAGGGAGCATGTGCTGAACTCAAGGATGATGCGGCGCACGCCGGTCAGGTTCCGGGACACGCACCGAGGGGTTCCCCTTCGGGGAGCACTTCTTCCCCTATAGGGGACGGACCCAGCGGGTTAGCTGGCTGTGGGCTGTCATGAAGAAGGTGGTGATGCTGATACCAGCATTGGCGGGGGTTGTATCCTGTGGGTGGGAGAGGAAGTGTCGGAGTGGGGGTGATGTGAAGGGTGGGGCAGTGGGGCATCCAGTGTGGCAGTGCAGGAGTGGGGGGCCCTGTGTGAGGTGTTTTAGTGCAGGGCACATGGAGTGCTCACATGGAGGGCCACACACCAGGTGTAGCTGACGATGGTGATGCAGTGGTGGCAGTCATCCTGGAAGGCGAACCATAGGAGTGTGAGGAGGAGTGACTTGGCTTTTGCAAGTGCCAGGCTTGCCTGTGCAGATGGAGTTGAGGGGGGGAACTGCCACGGGCACCGGCCTTCTCTGTGAGGTGCAGCTGAGCAAGAAGGTGGAATGGCACGGCCTGGTCCGGGGTGAGTGTCCAGATGCAGATGGCACCATCGGGTGAGTGCTCCTGACCCACTGGAAGTCGGAAGAGAGGCGGCATTTTGCCAGGCTGACCTGGGGGCCACACAGTCGTGATGCTTCCCTTGACAATCGGAAGTTTGGCACGGGTGGTCGCTCGGTCAAGCAAGTGGGCAATGTATTCTGGGTAGGGCTCCGGTGAAGGTGGGAGTGGTAGGGTGGAGCTGGGGCTGTCATAGGAGTCCTGCAGCGCAAGGAAGTACATGGGCGTGAAGACAGCGGGAGGGTGGCAGTGCTGTGTAGCGGGCTGTAAGGTATGCTGTGAGGATTGGGGTTCCGCTTGCGGGATGGCAGGCATTGCGGTGAGGGCGGTTGGGATGTAGGCGTGCTCCGTTGGGTGAAGGTGGCGAGCATCTATGGTGGGGGCGACCATATGCTGTCAGATGCTGTCAGCTGTGGTGCTGTCCAGCACAAGGTTCTTCCAGAGGTCCAGGGTGGGCCTGCACATGGGGCATGGGACATGGTTGCAGGTATGGTGGCTATGGAAGGTGTGGTGGCTGTGATTGAGTGGCAAGGCAGCGGCAGGGTACTGAAAAGTGGGCATGGTGGGGCCTGTTGGGACAGAATGTGTATGGGTTGGGCTGCTTCCTTCTGTTGTGGATCATCGTGGGGTGCCTCATCGTCATCGTCCAGGGGGTCATACTCCTGGGCATCCATTTCTTCGGTGCATTTCAAACATGATGTCGTTATGGAACATCGTTCCATCAGCATCTCCTCCAGGCTGGCAGCAATGTCTGCTTGAAGTCCTGCGTTGGTCTGCCCACATGTGGACATGTGCAAGCATGTCGCTGTTCGCCAGGAGGCGGTTGGTGATGTGGACATGGAGGGTGTTGGAAGCGAAGTATTGCTTGTATGTGGCCCAAAGGTCACCAGCGGTTGGAAGGGCTCCATAGCTGTAACACAGCAAAAGCGTAACCCGGGATGCTCAGATTGGCCTTGCATCGTTACATTGCCCCTCGCTTAGCAATGGAAGTCCTCGGCAATTATAACGAGCATTGGAGCCATCCCAACTCACGCATTGTGAGGTAGATTATCCATTATCATTATTATCCATGAAATCGCATGCAATTGCTGGGATGTGTACAACGGATGTTGCGTGGACCCATCTCGATACCATTGCAACACAGCAAAGGCGTCACCCTGGATGCTCAGATTGGCCTTGCGTCGTCAAAATAGCACTGTAGGTGGCAAAGTTGCCCAGTGCAAATGCTGCATATCACTGTTGCAGCAGGATGTCTCACAGTTGTCAGGGGCCCGGTGTGGTGGGTCAGAGAATGGCTGTGGGATGGCAAGGCATTGCCATGGCTCCACACATGGGTGCTGTACTGGGGGTGTCTTGGGGCAAGATGTCATTCCGCCGGTGCTTGGCTTGCCAGGCGAGTGCTGACACAGTGTTGTGAAGGGGTGGGGTGGGGGTGCAGGTGTATGGTGGAGGGGGAGATGTGGTGAGGAGGTGAAGTGCAGGGGGAGGTGTGGATGGATGCTGGTGAGCGCTGGGGACTAGGTGTGCTGCTGCTAGGTGGCGCCGGTCTGCTGGGGTGGCTGCAGCAGAGGTGAAGTGGCTGCTGAAGAGACAGTAGTCATCCAGCTGCATTTTGTGGGACTCAATGGCCACTTTGTTGAGCAGCATGAGCAGAGCTGCGGCCTGCATGGAGTACATGGTCTGCACTGTCTGGATGTTGACGGTGTGCACAAGGTTGTACTTACCCTCGATGGTGACGCATGAAGGGCGTGGGATGCTGTATGCTGGAAGGTGCTGGATAACTGGAAGGTGCTGTATGCTGGAAGGTGCTGGCTGTGATGCTCAGGGCAGGTGGTTTCTCAGCATCATCACTGGGAGGTGGGGCAGGGCCAGCAGCATCAGTCGGAGGTTTGAGGATGGTGCTGCACTCCTGGATGGTCATGAAATCCAAGGGTGTCACTGGTGATGGGCCTGGTGCGTGCATTCCAGGAGTGAGGGGTCGCTGCGTTGGAGGTAGGCAGGTGCCTGCAGTGCCTGGCATGCGGGGCTGTTTAGTGATGGTGACAGGCTCCTGCTGTGAGTGACGGAGCTGCTTGGCCCGGAGGCGGTACTTGAGGCTGGCAGTACGCACCACCCTGGCCACCCTCTGCCTTGGTGGCGTAATTGAGTGTGAAGTCAGCAGTGCATCTGTGGCCGACTGCTCCAGCATGAGGATAGGAGGGCGGCGGTTCAGCAGTGGGTGTCCCGGTGGCAGGTAGGAGTGCTTTTCATCCCACAGCTATCGTGTGCACATCCAGCGGCTTAGTTCGCACGTGAAGGCCACTGTGTGGTTGCTGGGAAGGGCCAGCAGCAGTGCAGTGGTGTGCCTGACGGTCTGGCCATAGCGCTTCAGATGCATGGCACCGGACAGCTCAGCATCCAGTGTGGTGAGGACATGCAGGAGGCGTGGAATGCACATCCGGCAGTTGCTGTCTGTAGCCTTCACGTTGGCTGCAGTACATGTGCTGTCCGCGTGGGTGTGCAGTAGGAGTGTGAGGATGGCATGGCTGGCAGTGAGCACAAGGTGTTCTGGGCAGTTGGCATCATGGTAATCCAGAGGCACCACACAGGCCTGTGGTGGATGCAGCTGTGCAAGGCGTGCCTCCACCTCCCGCAGCCGCAGCTTCAGGACGTCCTCCCGTTGCTTGGTAAAGCGCTGAACAGGAGGTCCTCCCGTTGCTTGGTAAAGCGCTGAACAGGAGGTCCTCCCGTTGCTTGGTAAAGCACTGAACAGGAGGGCCGGCAGTTTGGATATGTTGGAGTACCTCGGCCATAGGGCTGTCCCTGACCTTCAGCGGGAAGACAGGGTGCTGACCTGCACTGAAGTGTATGGGCGATGGCAGCGACTGCTGCTGGATGGGCTTCACAGGATACAACACCATGAAGTCCAGGACCTGTGGCTGGGCCGTGTGGTCATGGAGGGCAGTGAAGAGGCGGCTTGGGTGGAGGCCGGGCTCCAGAGGACACCATGCATGTGGAGCTCACAACTGTGCTGCATTTCGAATTTGGAGGTATGCAGACACACGGCTGAAGAGGCAGCCGGGACACACCTGGGGTTCATGGCTGACAGGCCAGCTAAGGAAGACATCGCAGAAGGTGTGGATGAATCCACGCATGAACTCCGCGCATGATGTTGGGCTGGATGTTATGAGGTGACAACATTCCGCTGGTGGTGGCCGGTCCATTGGCTGGCCTGTGCTGGGGTTGAAGTTGTAGCTGCATCCTATGAGGCGGTACACAGCTTGGGAGGACAAGGATGATGGATTGAGGATGAAGGATAGCGTGGGCGGGCCAAAGACAAGCCACAGACCATTGGCATGGCTGTGGAGGCTGGCCAGTGATGCAATTGAGCCCAAATCATTTGTGGATGTAGCATGCACTGCACAGACCAGGTGTGTGATGGCGGGTTGTGTGTCTTGCAGCCGCTCGATGTGGTCTGGTAGGCCTGCAGCAACGAGGTCAATGGTGTGTATGATGTCCTCAAGGTGCATCTTGCCGATCTTGGTGATGACGTGTGGATGCACCTTCAGGCGGACTGCCACCTGTGCATTGATGATGTGCCACTGCTGTTGAATGCATCGAGGATGTGGTGCCTCCATATTTTCATCCCGGCTGCCGTCAGGCATGGCTGGCTGCCAGCGGTGCATCTGCAGGACCAGCCACAGGGCACGCACCAGTGGCAAGGAAGGAGGACAGACATGCATATTGCGTGTGTTCTCCTGTAGCAGCTGACCGCTGAAAAGGTCTCTCGAGTTGCTGGCGGTCGCGCTCTGCGCGTATTTATAGCGCCGTACTGTGTACCGGCTGCTACATTCCCCCCCCTTTGAAGGGAACCGTCCCGGGCCCTTAGAGCCTCGTATACCGCCAGCCTGTGCCTACCTTCGCCTACCCTCGGGCAGTGGGTAATTACTCCACGTCACGTCATGTGCCGGATCACATGCGCCTAGCCGTCTTCAGATTTTTCAGGCACAGAGACAGTCCAGTCGGTTCAGCTACTTTTCATAATTTGTGCGACATTCGCTCTCTGAGTCGCCAAACCCGAAATACCACTCAACCGTGATGGGTGGGGGTTGAACCGACGACTTCAGGATCGTAAATTTTCATGAGGTCTCGATACCAAGTGTAGCAGCTGACCGCTGAAAAGGTCTCTCGAGTTGCTGACGGTCGCGCTCTGCGCGTATTTATAGCGCCGTACTGTGTACCGGCTGCTACATCTCCGTCATGTGGATGTCATGTGTTGCCTGTGCTGGTAAGGGGGGTTGCTGCTGCTGTCACAACAGTGCTGTGCTGCGGGGTGTACTGCTGCTGCCATGGCAGCTTCCTCCTGGGTGCCATACCGAGGACGTGAATAGTGCTCTGCATTGGTGCGGAGCAGTTACGGAAAACTGTTTGCCTCACCGAAGTTGTGAGCATAGACAGCAGTGTGCAGGAGTGCCATCGATACACCTGTGCCGAGCTCCTCCCATTGCTGCATTGCATGCTGCATCATCATATGTCTGGGCTGATGAGATCGGGGATTTCAACTGGCGGAAAGATGGATGCAATTGCAGTGGGTCCCTGGGCCACGGAAGCCGAGCACATGTGTGCAAAGCATGCGGTGTCCTTCCCGCGGGGTTATTTCGGCTGTTGCTGGGCGGTAGACCACCACACTGCGGATGGTGTGGATGAGGGTGAGCACCCGTCTCTCCCCTATGGTCAGCTGCGGCAACTCAGCAGGGTGTACACCGTTATCCACACGAGCCAGGGGTGAGGTGGCACAGTGTTGTTCTGCAGGTGTGTGAGGCACTCCCCACACAAGTCCACCTCATGGTGGTAAAGTTGGCATCATGGGACAGACAGATGCATACGGCGGCAGGATCTTATTGGAGGAATAATGGTACATGAGATAGCCTGTGGGTGTTGCTGCTGCTGATATCTTCTTGTTCTTGTGTGCCTGCCAGATGTTCTGCAGCTGCAATAGCGTGCTGAATGGGTGCATCTGGTGGCTGTAAGGGAGGAAGAACCTTGAGGGCTGCTGCCAGCACACCTGCGAGGTAGCATCATGGCGGATAGCAGCGTTGCCGAGGGTGGTCCTGATACATGTATGAGGTAATACAAATGCTGTGAAGTTACGGCAGGTATCGTACCAGCCGTTGTAGCTCAGTGGTAGAGCGTTTGTCTTGTAAACAAAAGGTCCCTGGTTCAATCCCAGGCTGCGGCAATGGCAAGAATCTCGGCACTGGTGTTACAGCTGTCTAACTATTAGTTATATGTATATGCTACTTCGGCTGCTTCATCTGAGGGTGAGTAATGTTCAATTGGAATGCAATTTCCCATCATACAGACGGTGTAGGATGTGGAGATAGTAAATTGTCAGCAGGCCGGAAACTACGGTGAGATGCTGTTGAACTGCTGAATTAGGTTGGAGGCTGGTGGTAGGTTGCTAGATCCAACAAATACATGGATTAGGGTACCCCTCTTGCAGGGGAGAGCAGGGAATTGCCTTGGGAAAGGGGGCAACTGGTGAAATTATACCACCCTGTAACAACATCACAGCAGCAGCTGTTTCTGCCTCAGTCAGGGCTACCCTCAGTGTAGAGGCACCCACAGCATGCTGCCGTCACGTAGACAGTCTGGCCTGCCTTCATGGCAAGGTTGACCTAAGTTGCATGCAACAGCGGGCCGTCTCATGGTGATATCATCAAATATGTTATATATAAATAGTGTATAAGCTCCAAATGGTCAGCTTTATATGAGCAGAAGGCATTTGGGGCGGCTTATGGCCGAAGTAATGAACCAGTATGGCAAACTGACCCAACGATTCCATTTCTTTCAGGCTCAGACCCCCATTTATTCCCAAAAAAGTAATATATTACCAAAAAAATCACTGCTCGTGCACAGCTCATTCTAGGAAGACTAACCCCCACAAGTACAGGCGAGAGTGATGACCAGAGTACAGTACAGCAATTGAGGACCCGCCACCGCCATGATGTACCTACAGCACCTATCGACCACTCAGACAGCACCCCAGCAGCTGTCCATAGCAGCTGTACAAGGTGCCATACGGCAGCAACAGCAACTGCAGCAGTATTTGCTCGGTCCTGGTGAGCTTTTTGCTTACGGCCAGCAGGTACTGCTTGCAAATGCCATACAACCTCAACTCCCAGGACGTTCTGCAAGCAAGGTACGACCCCCGCACATTGGCCGAGTCATGAACAAACCCACAAAGTACAAGAGCAGATGTCATACATACCATGTGCAGGTTTAGGAATTCACCAAGAACCATGCTGTGAGGTTCAGCAGCCCCGCCACAATGTAGTATCCTGCATATCACGGGATCCGACATCCACCGATCGGTTCCTATCTGCAAAAGACGTGATACTGCACACAAAAATACCTCCTGACGTAGATGTGAAATTCGCGGAAATTGCACACTCACAGGGTATCACTGCAGCACCTGGTGCCACAGCACAAGCGGACTTAGAGAGATGGCAGGAGCGGGAACATGTGACACTGCTGGGCAACGTCACAAAAGTCCTCAAGGCGAAGGTACGGCCACAGTACTGCCAGCTGTACATGACCAGTGTGAGCAGGTCATCTACATGGGGTGCTGTCTGAGTGGATAGGTGCTGTACATGAGAAGGGGAACCCCTAAACTTCCCCTTTAGGGGAAGAACTAAAGAACAGGCCCTATGCCACTGCAATCCTTACACAGGCATCATGGGCACGCTGTCAGCATTGAGGAGATAGGCCTAGTTCAGGATGATGATGAAAGCAAAGATGCCAGCAGATTCTGGGCGTCCCTGGCAGGCCATGTACCTACTGCTGTCTGTGCATGCTGCAGTCGGCACCATCTCCCCTCCCAAATCAGCACCCATAACTGCAATGACCTCAACAACAAGTTCATAACCCACCTTGCCATGAAGGCAGGCCACACCAGACTGTCTACGTGACAGCAGCATGCTGTGGGGGCCTCTACACTGAGGGTACCCCCGACTGAGGCAGAAACAGCTGCTGCTGTGATGTTGTTACAGGGTGGTATAATTTCACCAGTTGCCCTCTTTCCCAAGGCAGTTCCCTGCTCTCCCCTGCAAGAGGGGTACCCTAATCCATGTATTTGTTGGATCTAGCAACCTACCACCAGCCTCCAACCTAATTCAGCAGTTCAACAGCACCACAACTCAGTTCCCGGCCTGCTGACAATTTACTATCTCCACATCCTACACCGTCTGTATGATGGGAAATTGCATTCCAATTGAACATTACTCACCCTCAGATGAAGCAGCCGAAGTAGCATATACATATAACTAATAGTTAGACAGCTGTAACACCAGTGCCGAGATTCTTGCCATTGCCGCAGCCTGGGATTGAACCAGGGACCTTTTGTTTACAAGACAAACGCTCTACCACTGAGCTACAACGGCTGGTACGATACCTGCCGTAACTTCACAGCATTTGTATTACCTCATACATGTATCAGGACCACCCTCGGCAACGCTGCTATCCGCCATGATGCTACCTCGCAGGTGTGCTGGCAGCAGCCCTCAAGGTTCTTCCTCCCTTACAGCCACCAGATGCACCCATACAGCAGCCAGTTGCAGCTGCAGAACATCTGGCAGGCACACAAGAACAAGAAGATAGCAGCAGCAGCAGCACCCACAGGCTATCTCGTGTACCATTATTCCTCCAATAAGATCCTGCCGCCGTATGCATCTGTCTGTCCCATGATGCCAACTTTACCACCATGAGGTGGACTTGTGTGGGGAGTGCCTCACACACCTGCAGAACAACACTGTGCCACCTCACCCCTGGCTCGTGTGGACAACGGTGTACACCCTGCTGAGTTGCCGCAGCTGACCATAGGGGAGAGACGGGTGCTCGCCCTCATCCACACCATCCGCAGTGTGGTGGTCTACCGCCCAGCAACAGCCGAATAACCCCGCGGGAAGGACACCGCATGCTTTGCACACATGTGCTCGGCTTCCGTGGCCCAGGGACCCACTGCAATTGCATCCATCTTTCCGCCAGTTGAAATCCCCGATCTCATCAGCCCAGACATATGATGATGCAGCATGCAATGCAGCAATCGGCACAGGTGTATCGATGGCACTCCTGCACACTGCTGTCTATGCTCACAACTTCGGTAAAGCAAACAGTTTTCCACAACTGCTCCACACCAATGCAGAGCACTATTCACGTCCTCGGTATGGCACCCAGGAGGAAGCTGCCATGGCAGCAGCAGTACACCCCGCAGCACAGCAGCAGCAACCCCCCTTACCAGCACAGGCAACACATGACATCCACATGACGGAGAACACACGCAATACACAGGTCTGTCCTCCTTCCTTACTGTAATACCCTGGGTATCACGGGATCTGGCATCCACCCATCGGTTCTTTTCTGCAAAAGACGTGATACAACACCTACGATGCATCCCCTGCCTGCCTCCCCTGCTTTATTGCACACAGGCACATGCATTCCCCTCCTGTGCCCCATCCATGTACTCGGTATCCAGCCCAGGAAAACGCGGCATGGCAGCACCACCGGTAGCAGAGCCCAAGTCAAGCCGCGGTGAGGACATACATCGTATCCACCATGCCTTCCAAGACCTACCTCTCTCCATTGCCAACACTGTCCTACTTCACCTCACAAATAGGGAATGGACGGCCGGCTGCTGTAAACTGGCTACCTGCCCACCTGGATGAGGCTGTACACACCAAGAACCTTCCTAACTACAAGTAGTCATGCGGACGCCTTCAAATGGGTGCATACCACTGGCACAGGCCATCCTCCTTACAACAGCAACCCACCAACATCCTCCTCTGCCTGCAGACTCTCCAGGACCACTGCATACTACTGCTGCAGCAGGAGGCCACGCCATCCAGCCAAACTGTACCATGGCCAAAAGTGCCCTCCACAGCTGCCTGTGCTACTGGAGTCCTGCTGTCCCCTCCTGGAATGTGTCACATGGACCCGGCCAGGCAGCCTGCCACTGCACTGTATCCTAAACGGCAACATCCCGAAGTACCGCCTCTTGGCCTGTTGCGGCAGCGGGTGCCTGACATTGCAGCAACACCACGTAGCAGGGAAGGCACATGGCTACCTGCACTATGTATGGCCTGTCATGCAGGCCCCCCTCCACATGACGACACCACCATCACATCCCAGTCCACGACCTTCCCTCAGCACCCCACCGCATGCACTTCAGCCGGCACCCTCACATCCACACCCACCGCCCCCAATTCACTCCACTCTCGACATGACCATTCCACCCCGCAGCCTCCTCATCCTCAGCCCTGACCAGCCAGCAGCACCACCCCCGTACCCCAGCCTTCTCAGCAGCCACCTGCACCAGCCCCCCTCCCTCACCACCCGTCACCAGCCAATGCACCCACTGCAGTGCAGCCCCCACCGTTGCTGCATGACAGCACGGCCCCCACTGGGCCCATGCATGGCACAGACGAGGTGTCCTTCCTCACCACCCACGCCACAACACCTCACTGACAACCATCTTCAGGCAGGCCATCCGTGATCCACAGGCCTTCGTCAACCTTTGCAATGGCTGGCCGCTGGTGGCCTCCACAGGGCCAGCCCATGAATGGCTATGTTGTAGCGAAGTATAGTGTTACAGAGCTAAATCACAAAGCGATGAAAATTAATATAATACATGACTGATCGAGACTGGTCTAGGAACAGTCTAGAAATGTCTTGGAAGGACATCTCGAATTGAAACCTCAGTTGGAACAACCGTTGGATGTCTAGGAACAATCACTCTGGAATGACACCACGGGCAGGTGGTCTGAAAGGGATACCGTATACTACAAGTTGTTGCGGCCTTCTAGGCAACGAGTATTTATACTCGGGAGGAAGCCCATGTTCGATATCACTAATTGATTGATCAATCAACAGATAGTGAGAGCTCAGAAACACATGATTCTGTTCTCTTTCCTACAAGGTGCCCAGACCTTGATGGAGCGAATCTGTCCTGTAATTAATTGGTCAGTTTTCACCATATTACATGCTACCAGACTATGACCCCATGTGGCTCCTCCTTGCACACCCCAACCGTTTCCCCAATGCCACTGGTGCGTTACATGGAGGAGGCGGAAGAGCAGTTCATCTTCACCCAGATGACGGACGCCCGCCTGTACATGGCCATGCACGCCCTACTACCCGTGCTGCGGCGCACCAACTTCTTCATCAAGCTCTGCCAGAGCCGGCACCTGTTCATCAGCTACCTAAACATCGAGCTGGAGCGCCTGAAGGCTGACCTCAGCCGGATGTATCTGGACAGCGCCATGTGCTATCAGGGTGCGGATTTTGTGGACTACACCCAGCTACTCCCCACGGGCCCTGCGGGTGACAGCCTAGACGGCACTCAGTGGGAGCTCAGCCCTGAGGACGAGAGCGTCGGCCTGGTGTTTGGCGACCGCTTCATTGCTTTCCACGCGATGCAGCAGCGGCGGGTCAGAGGCGGATGCATGGTCAGCCTAACGGCGGAGCTCATCACGTCCACTGCCGCAGCAGTCCAGGCGGAGCTTACTGCCGCAGTGCAGGTGCTGGCCGACGAGCTGGAGGCCCACTTCCCCCCCACGGCCCTGATGGACGCCTTCCAAATCTTCTACAGCGAGTACTGGGAGGCCAGGCCGACAGCAGCAGACTTCCGGTCAAAGCTGAAGGTGATCAAGACCCACTACGGCAAGGAGTGCGAGCTGGACGAGAGGAGTAAAGTGCCACCAAAGCTCAACATCGCGGCATTGGATGCCAAGGCCACAGAGCCCGGATTCGGGGGCAGACCATCAAGCTGCGTGAGCAGCTTGAGGCGGAGCGGGCGGCTGCTGGTAACAAGGTTGTGCAGTGAAAGCTACGTGAGGAGAAGGAGGAGAACCCCACCATCCAGCTTTGAAAGCAGCTGGAGAACGCCCCTGTCAATGCGGAGAGCCTAAAGGAGTACGTGGCTTTGGCCAAGCTCGTGGTCATGATGGTGCCGGGGTCGGTGGAGGATGAGCGCCGGTTTTCGGCCATGAACTTCGTGCAGAGCAAGGTCCGCAACCGCCTGGACGAGCACCTGGCGCTCTGCGTCAGGATGTTCACGCAGGAGCTGTACAACCTGCACACGTTCCCCTTCGACGTGGCAGTTAAGAAGGTGCGTGAGGCCGTGATCAAGGGGCGGTACCGCATGAACGACTAGCTTCTGATGTGGTGCAGAGGCCTAACCAGCAACTGGCCGGCGGCTGGTGCAATGCCGTGGTGTTGATGGTGCCGACAGTGTACATATATATAGCTTTGCCTTCGCGTGCTCACGACGTTTATGGACAGTCAAAGTGGCTCCGCGCCCTGCTCACAGAGACACTGGCGCAAATGCAGTTAGGTGCACAGAACGATGGTGGTACGGCATGTGTGTTTCCAGACGTCAGGTGTTGTTTACAGCACACCGTACGGCCTTTGAGGGTGGGTCTGGGGGGGCTGCAGCCCCCCCCAGCGACTATACAAATAGGAACTGTAACCACAAGAAAAAACCAGTTTATTACTCTAGGGTACTAGGCCTAAAACGAAAAAAAAACACTGTGCATGAGCCGCCCAGTCTGTGTACTTGTAGGGTGTAGAAGCTGTAGGAATGGCGGCGGCAATGTGGGGATTGGCCTGGATGGCGCTTGTTATGAAATGGATTGTCAGGATTGTGTACCTAGGTATTGCAATACAAGCCGCTGGACGACCCACCAGCTGAACTCTTCCGCCCGGTGCACCTGTGGCAATAAGACGTCACGTCAGTAACGGAGGTCCTGCTGGTGGTATAGACGGTAGGCCTCATGTCGCACCTTCATACAGCCGGCGCCTCATGTCGTCACGTAAGCCGGCCGTTAAGTTTATGGCCTGACTTCTCTTCATGCCTCAATTGTTGCAAATAGGTAACACTCAGACTGTACAGGACAGTCCCTAAATTTCCTTTACACAGATGACCGCGCCAGATGATGGACAAGACTGCTTGTGCGCTGCCATCCACTGCGTCAGGTGCTGTTCCTTTCCAGCTTTTCCGTTGTATGTTCTTGGGGCCGCAAAGTTATGTACAGATGCTCCTAAAATCAAGTACATCTTCTGCTGCAAAGTGGGATGCTATATGAGCGAGTATGCCCCTGCTGCGGCACTGATAGCCACATCGAGGATGAGGAACACATTTTGCTGGACTGTCCGGTTTACGACGGAATCAGATCTGATATAGGCTTTCCACGCTTCGAACATATGAAGGACGCTATGAAGTGGGAACCTGAACGCCTGGCAAGGATGCTGGAACGTATATGGTCTCACCGCAACTCTATCGTCCCCTTTGGTCGTTAGTATACTTCATCACTTGTTTCGTTGGAAGTGCGAGGTAGGATGGTGCTTATAGGCGATTTGGCAGCCCTTGAGCCCTCGGCTCGTACTAGGGTGGTTTGCAGGTATGGGGAACGCACCCACGACCATGTAACAACAACAACAACATATGAGCACGGCCGACGTTTCGCGAACACGCCGGATGTTACGATCGAGCCTATTTAAGAAGCTTTCCACTTGTGTGGTGGGACCGAAAGACCCCGAGTGATGGGTGGTGAGCCGTCTTTTCGACCGGCCACCGACGGAAGTACAGCAAAGTGCATCAGATTAGGTGAAGGCCCTATGGCGAAGGCCAAACTACACTGACGAACGATAACGAATAGGCGAATGAGAGTAATGTAACAGCTCATGCTCGTTACATACTCCCCCCCCTAATTGGCTGGTCGTCCCGACAGCCGACTTATCCACGCCGCCACGCTTGCGCATGGAAAAGCAGAGTCGCAGGCACCCCACTGGCAGTAGACATAGTCCGAAGAAATGCGGAGAAACGAGAAGGCTTACGAACGCCTCTTCCAGATCTGGTTTTATGAACGTCCGAGACGGAGGACGGCGAGACAACAGGCGTGACCCCCTGGTTTAGGTTGGGACGCGAAGGCAGCAGCTGTTTTACGTGTCTGCCAATATGAACGCAGCAAATCTGCACGGTTAGTCAGGTTCGACTCTGGTTCCCACGAGTCGTACTCTGGACCTTGATTCTTCCAACGCATTAGAAAGAACCGAGTGCGACGACGCTTCTGTGTCACGTCACGATGATCAAGGACTGCCTCGACTTCGAATTCCAATTCACCATCCACAATCTCCGGTTGCGGAGGTTTCGGAGCATGATCACTCTCATAGTAAGGCCGAAACAGAGACACATGGAATACGTCATGAATACGCGTTCCATTAGGCAAGTCCAAACGATAAGCGACATCGTTAATCTTTTCCTTGATTATATACGGTCCAATAAAACGAGGAAGCAACTTGCGCGGACCTTCCAGACGCATGTGTTGAGTGCTCAGCAACACGACGTCTCCAAGCTTGAACTGACATTCCGAACGCTTGAGATCAGCAAAACGCTTCATACGATCACGTTGTGCAGCCAAACAACGCTTAGCATGCTCAAGCGCACCTTGCATGTCAGATGCAAAACGTACGGAAACGGCGTTGCGAAGAGCACGCGCCTTCTCCCCCCCCACTTGGCGAGCCAAGAGAGAACTAGGAGTCAGAGGTTCGAAACCGTACATCAGACGAAACGGAGAAATACCGGTAGAGGAATGCACCCAGGTATTCATGGTGAACGCAGCCATGGAAAGGAAACGAGACCAGAATCGATAATCACCGGCAACATAGTGGCGCAAAATATCCTCGAGGGTACGATTTACACGTTCAGTTTGACCATCAGTTTGCGGATGATAAGCCGAACTGAAGCGAAGGTCGATAGACATATCCTCGCACAGATGCGTGAAGAAAGCGGAACGGAAACGCGGATCCCGATCACAAACAAGGATCGCGGGGGAACCATACCGACGAACAACGGTATCAACGAAAAGCTTAGCAGACTCCACCGCAGAGATTTCCTTGCGACACGGAACAAGGTGAGTCATTTTGGTAAGCTTGCAAACGAAGACATAGATTGCCGTATACCCATCCGAATCAGAAGGAAGATCCGTAATGAAATCCATAGTGACGATTTGCCATTTCCCTTCAGGAATGGGCAAAGGAAGGAGCTTCCCAGCGGGAAGATCGTTAGAGCACTTAACGCGCTGACAACTGTCGCACGTACGAACGTATTCTGCAACAGCAGAGCGAAGTTTCGGCCTCTAAAACTGATGACGCACAGGTCCAACGATTTGACCACCCCACCATGACCCGCCATCGGATGATCATGACAGAGATGCAGGATGTGCGAACGAAATATGGAATCATCAGGGATCACGAGAGCATGTTGTTTATACCAGAAACTACCAGAAACGATCATGCTTTTGCAGAGACGCCGTATTGGACGGATCGGCGAACCAAGGATCAGACGAACACCCTTCGACAAGCGATCGCTCTAAGTCTGGAAAAGAGGTCGATATCTCTTGAGATGACGCCAGCGGAAGATGTGAAAGCATCCCCACTCGGCGTGGCGCGAGTCGAAATTGACATCATCAGACACGCGTGACTGTGGCCCGGAAACCGAGACAGAGGATCTGCGGGATTGCAAACTCCTGCGCGATATTGCCAGTCGAACGTGAAAGACTCAAGAAATTCCAACCATCCCGCCGGACGTCGAGACAGTTGAGCTTGTGTCGGGTAAGAAGGGTTGGGCATATGGTCGGTGACGACAGTGGACTTTGCACCTTCCAAGTAACAACGCCAAACCTTGAGTGCATGCATAAGAGACAGCAACTCACGATCAGAAGTGTGGTAGGTACGTTCAGCTTGCGGATAGCGGAACATACACTGAGCAGGTGGACGAGAACCAGGCTCTAGTGGAAAGACGGAAAGCAAACCACATGAACAGGCGGCAAATCAGCTGGCAGCTGGCAGGAAAACAGACTTTCCTTATCTAACAGCAAAACACGCATTCGTAGCTCAGCAGGAGAGTCGCTCGGAACCACAGTGCAAACCTTTCGAGCAAAAGACGACAGCTTGGGCGAAACAGAGGGTGGAGACGCGGAAGAAGCCGAGTCGACGGTAGAGACCATGCAGAGAAGAAACTCATAACCTTCACGAATGGCCTGCCTGCATAAAGCCGACATGACAGGGTTCTTCCAACGGGGTAGGTCAGGGAAAGGGCTAGACTTCAGTACAGGCTGACCAGGATGGCGAGTTAAACGCGGGTGCAGGCATAGGGGGTAAGCACAGCACCGACAGACGTAACCCAGGGGTCACCCAGCACCAAGTCATAACCAGGAGCGAGATCAAGCACAGCACACTGCAACCTAGCTTTGTAACCCTGCAAGCGAATAGGTACCTCTGCAAAGCCTACCGAAGTCATAGTACGACCATAGAAGTACGTTGTCCGATGGTTGAATCATGATGGTGATTGCGTGCGAGAGGTTTGCAGTTCAAGTAGTGCGACAGATACTCCCTAGCGTGAGCGGGAGGCGGATGAACGAAAACGTGATGTCCGACACAGCTGGAAGACAGAAAGCTGTTCGGAGTCAAACTGAATTCGGGGCACATAGCTGATCGCCACGGAGGGACAAACGAATCCCAAGTAAAATGCCGACCAGTCAAATGCTGACGCTGCTCGAATTCGGAAGTGCGAAGTATGCAAGCCGATAGAATTAGTGCAGAAGCAATCGGAACGCTCGAAATAGTCTTAGTATTACAAGATCGACGAGGCTCAGCAGTAAGAGCAGCAAAGACAAAAGCGTCCTGATGCACAAGTTGCACCAACAGTGAAATCTGTTTAGACGAAGTAAACTTGCCATTACCAAACGAAGCCTTACCCAACAAGGTAGGCGATAGCAAAGCAGCAACAGGCGAACGAGACGAACGAGCCAGAAGCGGAGGCTCACAACTGGGGACTCACAACTGGGGACGGGGCAGTCTTGCACACAGGATGTACTAACACCAGCAGATGTGCCCAACTGTTCACAAAACTTAGCCCCCCCTTAATTGTCCTTATGATAATAAAAGAACTTGCCAGAATTAAACGACGACTGCTTCAGCAGGCAGCCCGCCACCTTATGATCTCACCCCGGCAAAGCAAACACTAAGCTGAGTTGAAAGCCCATCTACAAACAGGCCGAACTGCTTTTCCTGACCTAACGGAGGCGCGATACACTTATCCTGAGCAGAAGAAGGATGGCTGTTGTATTGCAGGGTGGCTTTATCCCGAGTCTTGAGTGGTTGGAGGACTGGTTTCTCAATAACTGCGGCGAAAATCCTATGCTGCCGTTGTTGATTGGCCTACAGAAGATCCGGAGTACGAAGCCCGGTGATTTTCCTACGGCTGACCTCCTCATTCAGCATGTGGAGGACATCCGTACTCTGATGCCGGAGCTTCCTGAGTGCGTTCTCGTCTACTACGCTCTCGAGTTAAGTCCGGAGTCTCTGTACACTTCCCTCCGGTGGCAACAAGACAATGGAGCCTTGAAGCGCTGGGCATCTTGGGAGCTGTTCAAGCAGGAGGAGCTTCCTACCTTACTGGTCTTAACGCCGAAGTCGAAGTTACCTCGGCGCAGAAGCAGCTCCTGCTTGAACAGCTCCCAAGATGCCCAGGGAAGTGTACAGAGACTCCGGATTTAACTCGAGAGCGTAGTAGACGAGAACGCACTCAGGAAGCTCCGGCATCAGAGTACGGATGTCCTCCACATGCTGAATGAGGAGGTCAGCCGTAGGAAAATCGCCGGGCTTCATACTCCGGATCTTCTGCAGTCCAATCAGCAACGGCAGCGTAGGATTTTCGCCGCAGTTTTTGAGAACCAGTCCTCCAACCACTCAAGACTCGGGATAAAGCCACCCTGCATTACAACAGCCGAATGCAAAGCCAAACGAAGACGAAGGGGTTCCAGCGCCGCGATGAAGGCGACCGCGACGTCCTTCGATTGGATCGGTAGCCCGCAGCGTTGCAATTCATTCTGGATGGCTATTTTCTGCAACGTCCAACCCTGCGCCAGGGTCAGTTGCTGCTTTTCGAGGGACTCTGGAGACATCTCCAGTAACTTGTCGAAGCGTGGGTACGTAGGCGCCTTCTCCATAATCGACAAAGAAGAAGCGCGATTAGTTACTTCTATGACAGTATTGTCGCGGTCGGCAACGGCCGCGACAGGAGGATCAGGATCAGCAGCAGACATGGGATACGAAGGCGGAAGCGAAGTAGGCTAGGATCGAGAAGTCTCAATCCAATGTTACGATCGAGCCTATTTAAGAAGCTTTCCACTTGTGTGGTGGGACCGAAAGACCCCGAGTGATGGGTGGTGAGCCGTCTTATCGACCGGCCACCGACGGAAGTACGGTAAAGTGCATCAGATTAGGTGAAGGCCCTATGGCGAAGGCCAAACTACACCGACGAACGATAACGAATAGGCGAATGAGAGTAATGTAACAGCTCATGCTCGTTACACCGGAGCTGTTGGCCGGTAACGGTCGCAAAAAGCGGCCGCTCATCCGCACCGCCGTTTCCGACTGGGAAGTAAGCACGAAAATGTCCTGATGTAAATTGGCCTGAGATAGCTGCGTAAATAGCTGCATCGAAAGGCCGCCCATCGCGCGCCGCCGCGTCGGAGCGGTTGCGGCTAACGGTCGCACACTTCTTGGGAGGTCCACGCTTTTCTCGGCTGCGGCGGGCGGCGGCCCGCCCGCCCGCCTTCCGCCCGTCCTTCCTCCCGCCCTTCCTTCCTTCCTTCCTTCCTTCTTTCCTTCTTTCCTTCTTTCCTTCTTTCCTTCCTTCCTTCCTTCCTTCCACGACCTCCATTCCCCGCCATGCATGGAAGTTCTTTCTGCATTATCCACAAACTTTTAATTGCAGTCGGCCCAACTGATGCAGTCCACTTCCTTTGCACCAGACAATATTGCAGCTAGAGTTTGAGACACAAAATCACGCCTCTCCAAACTATACACCGCGGTGGGCATGTAGACATCTGCCAGATGTATATGGTGGCCGCCCCATTGAAACGAGAATGGTACTAATCTCCCCGCCGTTGCTGTATCCGTTTGACTTGAGCGATCCGTTTGACTGCGGCGGGTGAATGTGTTGCAAGATCCCCGTCCTAACCAAAATAGCTACTCCCGCAGTTTGGGAGTTGGTAGTGAGGGCATGCGCCAATTTGTCCCATCCCGATTAGGGATGCGAATTTACGTTTTACGTTTTTACGTTTTAAGGAATTAAGGTTACGTAATTACGTAATTAAGATTGGACCTGGCCGTAATTTACAGAATTAAGGGCTCGCCGTAATAAGGTCCCTCAGGAGGGGTAGAAACCTTAAAAGCTTAACAGACCCATGGGTCTTACAGGTTCCGCCGGTCTGCAAACCAGGGTGCCGCTGACCCGTCCACTCCTCCGAACACACCACAAACCCAGCCATGGGGGAAGCGTGAAAGAGTCCAACAATGCAGGTTGAAACCCGCGATTCCCTCCGCCCAACCAAGCAAAAGAGCAAGTCAAGTAGTCAACACGACAAGTAGTCCTGGTTTGCAACGGTATTAGGTGTCGTGGTCGAGTATGTATGCACGGCTTTCAATGCTTAACGAAATCCCCATGGGCCCAACCATGAGCCCATCATGCTGAGCCAACAAGCAAAAACAGCCGGTACTGAGGAAGGGAAGCTGCCAGGACTGAAATCGTTTACTGCTCCGGCAGCTCCAGGCCCGGCTGGGCCTCCATCCACCGAATGAACTCCTCCCAGTCCAGCTGCGAGATGGGCGCCTTCTCGCGCTGTAGCACGCGGTAGTTGTAGTACACGTACACCAGCAGGCCCACGCGGCTCGACAGCAGCCGGTTGCGGTCGTTGGACCACATGCGGCTGAACACGCTCCAGTTGCGCTCGCCGGCACAGGCGGTGGCCGGCATGTTGAACAGCATGAGCGCCACCTCGCCCAGCACCGGGAAGGCGGCGATGCCGTACTCCTTCCACCACGCGAGGGGCCCGTAGGTGATCATCGTGGCCTCCTCAAAGGCGTGGGGCGGGATGCCGACGCGGCTCTCGAAGTCCGACACCGAGTAGGTGCGGAAGTTCTTGAACTGGATCAGCAATGACGTCTTTGTTCGCCCCGTGCCACGAGGTGCCCAGCTTGAGCAGGACCTTCTCGGCATCGGTCCTGCAACGGAAGGCAAGGGAATTAGGGAAAGCGAGGGAGGTTCGAGGGTGTCCGGGAGAAACCCGTTGCGAAACACGTCCGACCCATCCACCCATTCCCGTTGCGAAACACGTCCGACCCATCCACCCGGGATTCCCGATACTCCCGGTGTCCCCACAATGCCTATCAAGCTTCCCGGAATAAGTCTAATTTGATCTTTATAAACATGATGCATCTCTTGAATGCAAATAATAACTAGTCTAACTGCAATCTAGTCCATATGACGGCGGCAGCCAGTAGGTTTTGCCCCCTCAGTGGTAGCAGCAGGCCCCTCAATATTGTGCGTCCCAATGCGTGGCGGCCTACATGCTGGCTGCCTAAAAGATCTAATTCGGGTACATGTATTCCGTTTGCGTGCCCTGGGCCATTTTCTTCTAGGACGTTGAACGGGTTAGTAATTACGGGGATTGCGAGTAATGACTGCAGTACTGCGTTATCAAGACCAAGTGCATCAGGTGGTTGTAGTACTGGTCGTACATGCAGTACATTGAAACGGTTTTTACTCTAGCGTCATGCATAACGTTGTCTAGCGTTCTATCTGTTTTGTTCCCGGTCAGCACATGCGCAACTAGCTAAGAGCTATGAATGAATCAAGCTGCGTGGGGTAAACCCTGGCCTCGGATTTCCACTGCCAGCAGTCTATAAGGCCAGCCGCTTGGGCAAGCAAGAAGAAATACGCAGGTAGGAAAGGCCCCACGGGGCTGGAGCGGCTTAATTGGCTCGGATGCAATTTTGCAGCCCTTGAGTCCAGCCTCACACGCCAGCCAGGAAAGCGCGCTCCTGATAGCTGGCAGGTAGGATGGAACGGCCCCGGCGGCCCATGCATACTGCAGGAAACAAGACAATATATACAGTAGAGCAGATTAAAATTATTTTTCCCAGCTATAGATTATCCTCCAGATCCCACCCATCACAAGGCAGGCTGCAGGTGCAGGCGCAGGTGTGCACGAAAAAGGTGTCTGCATGTATGCGTGTATATAATGCAAAAGCGTAGCATGCAGCAGGGCATTACACGCATTTATCGGTACATAAACAAAGGACTGACTGCTGTATATGTGACTTGACACACCGGGAAATGTCGGTAGGATCTGCACACGGTGCGGCACGCACGAGACCTGAGCCTGCTAAATAGTCAGCATCGCACCTGCGGTGCGCAGACTTCTTAGAGGGACTATTGGCGTTCAGCCAATGGAAGTATGAGGCGATAACAGGTCTGTGATGCCCTTAGATGTTCTGGGCCGCACGCGCGCTACACTGACGCGACCAACGAGCCTATCCTTGGCCGAGAGGCCCGGGTAATCTTGTAAACCGCGTCGTGATGGGGATAGATTATTGCAATTATTAGTCTTCAACGAGGAATGCCCAGTAAGCGCGAGTCATCAGCTCGCGTTGATTATGTCCCTGCCCTTTGTACACACCGCCCGCCTGCTACCATAGACAGCCCCGCCTTCGTTGCAATATGGCGACGCATACACCGCAAGCAAGCTGCATTTGCCGCGGAAGTGTGAATATGGTGAAACGCTGTGAGCAGTCAAACATGTAGTACCTACGATATCATGCTAACCTTAAGTCACTCTAAGTAACCCGAAGTCACTAGGGGGCCCCGGGATAAGCGGACTCCTACCGGCCCACGCGAGCCAGCAGCAGAGTCTGCTGCTGGCTCGCAGACGTTAGCAAAGCTAGGATTTGCGGCTTGCTTTCGCGGCCCCTGGGCGACTAAAGTTGAATGTGAAGCATGCCGCTGAGGAGACTATAATTATATGGCGAAGTTCATGGGGTCCCCCGATGCCTTAAAACGGCTTATCTGCTGCAACTTTCGATCAATCGGGGGTAGATTGGCACCAGAACCAATAAGGAACTAGGAGAAAAGCCACAGCTATGTAGAATACGCTTACTTAATAATGCCGCAGCCCGGGTTCGAACCAGGGACCTTTTGTTTACAAGACAAACGCTCTACCACTGAGCTACAACGGCTGACTTTTCTGAAAAGTATAAATAATATATAGGGCCGACAGACATGACGTACACGACCACAAGCCCACAAGACGTGGGCACTTAGGCCTGAAAAGGTGGATTGGGTTGGGCGCCTTCAGAAAAATTATTCCACGCGGCACCTAGGTGTTAAGTGTTGCCATTCGGCTGCGGATTGTTACCCAACTGGCCCTCGGCAGCACTTGCTTGGGGCAAGGTCCAACGTTCCATTGCGTGGGTAGGCGCAGAGCGTGTGATTTAGGCGGGAAGCAGGGGTTTCATGGTCGGTTGTTTGCTTTCCAGAAAAGCGATGGCTATGGCGTGGCTGAAATATCTTTTGAGTTGGGTATCCCGCTCTATGTGGAATCCGCAAGAGCGTTGCACGCGCGCATTCGATGGTGCCCGCCGGTGCCTCTCTATTGTTCTGTGCCGTTGAGTAGCTAGCTCATTCACCCGCGGTGGTGGAGAGGACTATATGGGTTAATAGCCAAGATATACCACAGCAGCAGCAGGTACGCAGGCAGAGGCTTGTATGATAGTAGACATCACCATGGGCTAGGGAGTCAAACATGCAAACAGATTCCTTTGATGTGAATTCATGATAAGCGCGAATTGATGTTTCTTGTATTACAGCAGAAAGTGTAAAGAAGGAGTCTCACATTTACCCTCTGTCCCAACCGCTGTCCAAACCGAAAGAAAAGCATCCATGAGAGAGTCATAAACCTGATGCCACTTACTAACCATCTTGAGCGATGCACCAGTTTGCGATGGAACACATAGGGTGTCCACACGGTGACGACCGCGATTGCACGTTCACGTGAGCGCTATCCTGGAATAATGAAATGCAAAGCCGCAGCTTTTGGGTTATATTTGGGTTGGATATATCCCTCCGACAGGAGGTCTGCCGCGGAGATTCGGAAATCGTCCTCATGATACGCGGTGTGCAATGAAGAGCACACCACGCAAATCAATTTCAGTTCTGCATTCAGTTCTGCATGTCAATATGCATACTACAATGTGCATAATGCTTGCGGGTTGGTCGCGGGCACTCGCCGCTCCGGAGCCCAAATTGCCTTCCGAAATCAGGTCAACAGAGCATTAAGGGGTAACGCTTTAAACTCCTGCCCTTTGACGTCCTTTTTATAAATCGCAAACCGAATGGCTCCCAAAACCGTAGCGGCGGCACAGGCCGCACCGGTGTCAAAGATTCCAGCAGGAGCAGGCCGTGCGTTAATGACAATATTATTCTTTTCTGCTCTTATGGTAATTTAAGAAGAACGTGCTTCATGTTTTCACTTGCTTAAGGTGTACGAGCTCTGCTCATTTTCGCAGGTTTCCTGTCCTTTCTTGCTGTACTTTGGCTCTTACGAGGGTTATTTTGACAGTGAGCTACCTTGATCGTTTCAGTTTCATGCAGCCACGCCGTGCTGCACACCGTTAGTAACCGCCGCGGCTGCTGTGTCACACGCAGAGCTGTACGCACTAACCATCGGCATCCCAGCACCGGAAAACCGCGCCGTAGCAAGCGCTATTTTGGCTGTCCTTGGAGTAAACCTGGTGGGTTCATGTCGGAGGGCCGCACAGTGATACACTGGACACCGTCTTGCTGCCACCAAGAATAATAATGTATCTCTTCAGAAACCTCCCGCGGTCAAGATTGCGCCGCTAAAGGTAGTTATAACCGCAACCTCATCTCCCTCCGCCAACGCCCATCCAACGCCAGGTGGTTGGCAGCTTTATCTTTGTGGCCTTCAAGGAGGTTACCGACGATTCGGATACGGCACAGACGAGGGCGAGGGCGAAGAAGAACGACTGACCCCGCTTAGCTTGGGGCATGGGAACGTGATGATGACTTCAATTGCTGGCGTTCCAGGCAACTCTGTCCCGGTTCTGCTGTGGAAGGTGCAGAAGCCAAGAGCAGATCCTATCCGGCAACGCCCGTACGATGGAGATGTACGGCATTCTGGGGAGCTCGTGTATGCCCGTCTGTACCCCTCGTCGCATGTCGGCGGCGGCCTGCAGGCGACTGCATTATCCACCAGCGGAAGAGGGCCCGGGCGGCCTCCGCTGGTCCGGTTTTTTGAGTCGGTGGTGGTGATGGGGGACGGGCGCTGCGTCACCAAGAGCGACACTTAGCGCGGTTTAGATGTGCCCCCTGGCTCGCTATGAAGAGAGCCCCCAACACACACACACAAACTCATAGATGTATTGTTTGTTGTAGCGGTGACGATGTCAGCGGCCCGCGCCCTGACAGCGGATGCATGGCACTTCCAACTTTTCGTCTTTCGTTCCTTCTTAATCAGCTTCCTGTTTCACAGCAGACACAGACGCAGCAGCAGTAGCAGCAGTAGCACCACATCTCTCAACATCCCTCTTGAGGGCGCCCCGGGAGACGGCCATTTCGGCCTTTACATGTTTATGTTTCGGCCTAATCTACCTGTACGGACAACGTTTTGGCACACGCACAACATTGCAAGCTCATTACCGCCGCTGTCGTAACAAGATTCCCCGTTACCCTTTTCGGGTTGCGTTTGGTAAAATAGGCAATGTGCCGCGGATGATGAACAGAGATAGTACTTAAACTTTGTGTATTTCATTTCTTCGGGTATAGTTTCGTCAGGTTTATGGGATAAGACTTTTTGGCAGTGTGGCGGATGTGTGTGTGTGTGTGTGTGTGTGGCGGGGTGGAAACGTGTGTGAGGGGGGGAAGTGTGTATGTGTGTGTGTGGGGGGGGGGGAAGAGAGCGCAGACTCGTATAAGTAGCCCCATGCTGCGGGGATGGAGATGGGGTTGCCTGACTGGCATGTGGTCTCTCCCCCGGGCAGTATGTGTTTCCCGCCCGCATGTGGTTAACCTCCCTCCTTGGGAGCGCGGGGGGGGGGGGGAGGAGCGGAGGTTCGACGAGCCAGATATGGTCGACGGATATGGTGACAGTCATTCGGTAGCTTTACGTTGTTAGTTAGACCTAACTGTCCTCCTGTTCCGTATGTTTATTTGTTTCGTTGGTAGAGAAGCGACAGGGAGGTGGAGGGGTAAAACTTATTAAGTGGGTCGATGCCACCCCTGTCTGGTCCCGATGGGGTTCTAATTCTTCCCAGAGGACATGGAGATGTCCAGAAGCTGTTAGCAGCAGCTGCAGATATAAACAGCGTTGGCATACCGGTTTGCGCCACTCGTGTACAGCGCTGTACAGCCCTGCATACCGACCGTGCTGCCACTGGAAGCAGCAAGGCGGCCTCTGGCTGTCTCTTTATACTTTTAGCCTTTAGCAAAATAACAAAGAGTTACAAAAGTTCCGCACGAATGCGGTGGGGGGTGTCCGTCAAAGCCCCGAGGGCTCTCATGGACGATATATATAATGGAAGTTAACTCCGCCGTATGAACTGAACCTGAACCAGGGGTGTGGTTAGTTTGCGGACCGTAGAAAATGTCCTCGCCTCGGCCCCCACTACATGCCACCACCCTCATCACCGCCGCCAGCACCTATGGTGGTACTCCGGATGCGGAGCGGCCCGGTGGGGTTTTCAGGAGCCTTAATACGTGCACCGCAATTCATCACTGCCCCAGAGCTGCTACATCCTGCTCTGTCCTGCTACTTACGCATATGCAGACAACTGCCGTCCTCCTGTAGCCCCCCCCCTTCGCTATCTCCCCCTCGTGGCAGTGAACAGACGGGGCCGCGCCAACATATTATTCTCCCCGCCCCGCCGCACACTGACTTTCGCACTGCCTACTTAACAGCTCAGCTCATTCCCTTCCGCCGCCCGCCGCCCACCGGCAGCCGCAAAGGCTCTCCCTGCTCCCAACTGCAGCAGCGGCAACTGCAGCACCGGTCAAGGCCCAACATTCCAGTCAAGTCCACGAGGGAGAAGACTCCCACACCCGGGAATGAGAAGCCCTCCTCCTCCTCCTCTGATACTCATCACCACCAAATCCCCAACCCCGCAAGCCGCTAGACATGCCCAAGGGTGCGCACACAGGACCTCACACGCTTCCGCAATCATCCGGTCCAAACTGCTGATCTGAAGTATCAGTTCTCGTATGCTACAGTAAAGCAGTGAAAGCGGTTTCCGACGCCCAAAACAACGCGATGCAGCCAAAGCCAACTCTTTGCAATGCTGATGCACAGACACACACACGGTTAGGACTCTGACCCGATATAACGCCCCTCCAATGACGGAATGCTTCAACGGTCGTTCCCGTTGGGGTATATACGGTTAGGTGCCCCTGGCCTGTGTCAGACCCGTATCGACATGTAACAAGCATACATACACATACACACACATAGAGACAACTTGTCAATCCTGAGCTACAACACACAAACAAACCCATCACCGCCGGGGCCCCATCCTCCTCCTCCGCCTCGCCTACCCCCGCGACCTCCCTCATCTAAAACAAAAGAACACCACCCGGCCCCTCACCCGCACCCTCCGCCAGACTCAGCTCCCGAAAGGAGCCCCCCTACCGCATGCATGCAAGGAAAGCGCAGCGCATATCCCTATGCGTGCCTTTACGGACTCTGTGTGCCTACCAGTCCCCCCAATCAATTCGCACCTCTCTACCCCACCATGCAGCGGCGGCCCCTGCAGCAACCGCGACGGCCCGATTAGCTGCCGCACAGACAGACGCACATATCAACCCTGCACAGACCCCGTTCCCCCATCCGGGCCCGGCTCCAGCATCGCACTCTCTCCGACCCCCGCTGCCCCTCCTGCGCCCCCCCACCGACCTGACACAGGGTCAATCCCAAAAGGGAGGACTGTGGCGGCGTTGTGTTCCTCCTCGCGCCCCAAGCAACCAACCTGCATGGCACCAACCACCAGCCCCGTCTGATCTCTCCCCCCTTCAGGCCAGTGCGAAGTGGTTGGCCTCCTCCTCCATGACCCGGTCCACCAGCTGGGGGATGCGGTGCGACCAGGGCACGTTCACCGGCTCGAACATGGCCTGTACCTGTACAGAGGGGAAGGGTGTGTGTGTATGTGTATGTGTGTGTGTGCAGAGGGGGGAAAAGGTGAGGGATAAAAGGGCAAGACAGGACAGGACAGGGAAACACAAAGGACATCGCAGCACGCACAGCGCGAGTCACGGTTTCCGAAACGGCACAAAACACCGGAACGGTCGAGTGTTAAAACAACACTCGGCGCAGACAGCAACGCAGCAGCAGGAGGGGCAGCAGCAGGAGCAGCGGAGCGGACGTCAAGAGGCCAATCACCACCACGCAAGGCCGGTGCTACCCTCCCCCCTACCACCACCCCCACCACCCCCACCCCCACCACCCCACCACCACCTCCTCCCCCTCACCTGGGTCAGCACCGAGTGATCCGGATCCAGCTTATTGGACCAGCCCTCCAGTACCAGCGTGGTCACCACCACCGCGCATATGTGCCCGGGAAGGCTCACCTGCCGCGGAAGAGGGGGACGGGGAAGGGGGAGGGGTAAGATGGGCCACTGGCGAATGGAGCAGATACCAAAAAGGGAGGGAGGGAAAGGAATACGAACCACGAGCGAGTGAAGCTAATGCCAAGGAAAGACTGCTGCGGCAGATGTAAAGGACGGCATAACTAACCAGTCGGCGGTTGTGAGGAAGCAGTCCGAGAGGAGGGGAGGGGGAAGGGGCGGGGAGGGGAGGGAAATACGAACCACGAGCGAGTGAAGCTGCTGCCAGGGCAAGAGTGTACCAGGGAGGGGAGGGGAGGGGATCACATGGTTGTGCAACAAGCAACGGGTTATCCTGACTGTCTGCTGACGTCCGAAGCCGAGGGGAAAGGCGCAGGAAGGCGGGGACGGGGAGGATGGGTGATTCAGTTGAGGTGCTCGCAGCCAGGTGCGACCAGCCAAGAACAGCTGCATCGATGCAAAATGCAACGCATCAACTAATCAACTGTCAACGTCCTCATGTCGAACGACCAACAGCGGGGTGACGTTGTAACGGCTACCCCGCGGGACCCGCACAGACCACACCGACAAACGGCCCCGGGCAAACACAGGGGATCACCAACACCTGATGCTGCCGTACAAGCTCCAAAACCGACGCCAGCGCATCCGCCCCGTTCTTGAACGAGCCGACCTCCTCCCCCCTCCCCTCCGCCGCTGCCAGATCCATCTTGTGCAGCTCCTCAAACGCCTCCTCCATAGCCAAGCGGAAGGCCTCCGGGTCGGGGCAGGACTGGGATTCACCTGTGGGCGGGGGAGGGAGGGGTAGCGGGGTAGGGGATGTAGGAGAGGGGGAAACAGGGGGACACATGCGCAAGGTGATTGAAGGAATGAACTGCCGGCGTCCAAGGTTCAAGCGGAGAAAGGGGGAGGGAAAGACGAACCACGAACGAGAAGGGAGAAGGGGGGGCCTCCGCAACAACAGAACAGTACCCGGTGCGGGTGGGTGTGCGGGTGAGTCCTCCCGCCCTCCCTCCGGCTCTAAGCACCCCACCTGAGAACCTCAACGTCCAGTCCCCACACGCCCGGCCATCCATGGCGGCGAAGGAGCGGAACAGACCAACCATATTGACCTGGTAAAGAGGAAGGGGGGGCGGAGGGGAAGGCGGAGGGCGGGGAGTTCTAGCAAAAGGGGGGTGGAGGGGAAAGACGAACCACGAACGAGTGAAGCTGCTGCCAGGGCAAGGGCAAGGAGGGGAGGGAGCACTGCATCAGCAAATCAACATGGCCCAGAAGCCCCCTCCCCGGGGGCGCCCAAAGGAGTAAGGCTGCTGCCGGCTAGGAGGCGGGTAGCAGCGCGGGGCGGCAACCCCGCACGTTTCCTTTCCCTCCTCTCTAATCCCCCCCCCTTCCCTCCCCCTTCACCTGGTCCGTGGGTGACAGCTCCGTGGCCATACCCACATCCAGCAGCACCAGGGAGGGCTGCAACCACCTCTGCTGCAGCAGCTCTATCCGCGCCCTGTTAGCCGGGGCTACCGCGGGGAGATGACGGACCTTGTCCAGGGCGCTAAAGGGGGGGTGAGGAGGTGAGGGGATTTCAAGGAAAAGGAGGTGAAGGGGGGATAATGAAAGTGTAGTACGGGACAGAGGCATGGTTTCAGCAGCGATAAAGGTGGGGGGTGCGGTAGTGTGTGTGTGTGTGTGTGTGTGTGTGTGTGTGTGAGGGGAGGGTGTCAGTGTTGGGAGAGGATAACGCTTAACGAGGTGGATATGTGCGCGGAGGCCATGCTTTACGAGCGCAGCCGGGACGTCGAACCCATAAGACGACGACGGGACATGGACAGGTGAGATTTCTGCGACGAGAGGCCCCTTAAGGTGAGGGGAAAGAGAAGAGTTACCCGCGGGCAGTGCGCCCCGCATCATTCTGCGGTCGAAGCGGTACCTCGCACTAAAAGGAAGGGAAGGGCAACAAGTGCCGCTTCCGGAGCTGAAGGCCTGAAGGAGCCCCCTTCCACTGCCCCCCCCCTTCCTCACAAACGACTTGGCAGCCCACACCTGGCCTCCCCCAACATTCTCTACATCTACTCCAACCCCCCCCACCCGACGCCACTCGTCTGCCGTACCTGTACAGCAGTCCCAGCAGCCCCCCCGGTGGATCCAGCCGTACAAGGATGTTCCCCGGGTGCAGATCCGAATGGATGAGGTTGTCCACCAGCATCATCTGAAGCATGGTGCCACTGCCCAGCTCGGAGAGCCTTTGGGGGGGGGGGGAGAGGGAGGGGAAGATGGAAGAGGGAGGTGTATGTGTATGTGTTGTGTTGTGTGTGTGTGGAGGGGGGGTGGACAGCGGAGGAAGGAGGGGTAAGGAAAGAAAAGGCCTCCGCCTGCAAGTCCGCAGAAATAAAGACTCTGTTCTGCCATTGCCCCAACCGCTGCAACCACCGGGCACGTCACGTCCCCACCCTCACACACACACACACTAACACACACACACCCTTGTTGGCAACACGGACATATGCCCCCTCTGGGTGCAATACACACATACGGACGCACGCACGGACTACCTGTGGTTGTACGGGTTGTTGTCGCTCTGTATGTATGCCGTGATGTGCTCCCCTGTCTCGAACGTCTCCACCAGCACGTCCGGGGTGACCAGCGGGTAGAGGGGGACGGGGAACGACACGTGACGGGTTTTACGGAAGTTGTGGTTGAAGCGGCGGAGGTTGTTAGCCTCGCGGGACAGATCCACCTGCGCAAGGGCGACAGAGGGTTGGAAGGGGGGGGGGAGAGTTGGGGGAGGGGTTAAAGACGGACCACTGGCGAATGGAGCAGGACAATTGAAGCGGGTAATAAATGAGATCGACGGGTACTCTATACAGGAGTACGCAGACACTGCGCGAAAGGGATGGGGATGGGGGTGGAAGGTATTTAGGGAGGTCGTAACACATTCACATATACACACACACACGTTTTCCCTCCCCACACACATCCTACCCCCCCACACACACCACCCTAACCCCCCCACCTGCTCCCTGAGCGGCGCCGCAAACTGCGACAGTGTTTGTTCCAGCCTCAGGTGCTTCAGGGAGGGCGCCACGGAGGCCAGGTGCGCCACCGCCATCATGGTGGCGAAGTCCCGCAGGATGGCGGACCCCACACCCGGGTGCCGTACCTTCACGGCCACGGTGGAGCCCGCGGGCACACCTGGCGGGGGGGTGAGAGGTGCCCCGTGGGGGGGTGGGGGGGAGAAGGGGGGAACACGAACCACGAACGAGTGAAGGGGTTTTGGGGTTGTGGGTGTGGGGGGGCCCCGTGAGTGGGGAAGGGGGGAAAGACGAAACACGAATGAGGTAGGCTGATGCCAAGGAGGATAGACGGATACGCCTGTAGGGAGCCCGGGGCGCGGAGGGGGACAAGAAGGGAGGAATGTGTATGTGCCAAGTCCAGAAACCTGCAGCCGGCCGAAGGATGCTAATGCAGTGGCCAGGAAGGGTGCGTCGAAGGGTACATGCCCCGGGGGCTGAGGGGGCTGAGGGGGCCGCGGTGGGACAGAAACCCCAGCAGGACGCCCAGGTGGAGGTGGCGGTGGCTGTGAAACCACCTCGGGAGTGTGGGGGGTCCTGATGGACACCGCAATGATGGTAATGGAGGGGGGGAGGAGGAGAGATAGTCCCCAGTCCAGATGCCGTCCTCATCAATCTACCCCCCCCAGCCCTCAGCCCCCAGCCCCCCGCAACATTCCCGGCCAAGATCAATCCCCTGGCACACCTCCCCCCCCCTCCCACCCTCTTCCGGCAGTGGCGGCAGCATCACGTAAACCCCCGGACTCAACCCCGCCTCCCCCGGCTTCTCCCGCACCCCCTACACGCACCCGTCATGGCTGCTCCCTTGTCGCTGAGTACGGCACGATGGATCTGACCGATGGATCCAGAAGCCACTGGATCTCGATCTATGGATTCGAACAGCTCGTTCACAGGCATACCGAATGCACGTTCGATTGCGGCTTGTGTATATCGAAAGCTGTGACCCGGAGCCTGTTGGCGGGTTGGCAGTAAGCGCGGGATCGGTTGGTTGGTGTGTGTGTGGGGAGATGTTGGGTTTGGCCGTGCGGGGTGTCGAGAGGCGGGTGAGGGTGGGGGTGGGGGTTAGAGTGGTATGATTGTTGAAGGTGAAGGTGAAGGCCGCCCCCCAGAGGAGGGGACTCGGTCTGGGAGGGTATGCTCATGAAGACGGGGAAAGGGCTAGCGGGGATTGTACGGCTTTCGCGATACACATGCACATAAGAGTCAATTAAGAAAACACGTGGTATCGTTGCCGTACAACCAAGGAATACGCGTTCTAGCTCGGGCTTGCTAGTTCCCCGAACATGCCAATTCACATATACGCACACATACATACATACAAACACAAGCACACGCACATACACGCAAAGGAAACGAAGACAGTCCGTGTCGTACTCGCCCCGGTCCCCTCCACTCCCACCCACCCCCCAATCCCCCAACCCCCCCAACCCGTAGCACCTGGGTGTGCAGTCGCTCCAGCTCAGCACACATATCCGGGGGGAAGAGGTCGTGGCGGGTGGCGGCCCACTGGCCCCACTTGATGAAGGCGGGACCTGGACCCGGAGGACGACGACGAGGAGGAGGAGGGGGGGAGGGGGAACAAAGACTTCGAAACCCTACCTAGGGCAGTTGCGTGTCGTCCACCTAGAGCTGTGGCAGCGGTGGCTGCTTTGAACATCGGTAGTTGCTCCTTCGACATCTGCATATAACAATTAAATTCCCCCGACACCCGGGCCCCCAAACCCGGCCGGCCCCCCTCCCCCCCCCCACGCACCCGCTGCCTCCAACGTCCTCCTCAGCAGCTCCATCCACTCCGCCCGCCGGAACTGCAGCTGCAGGGCCACGGGGGCCGACAGCAGCACCGGGGCGAAGAGCAGCAGCAGCCACAGCGAGCGGCCCAGGCTGACCAGCAGCGAGGTCATCTGCACGGGCAGGGCCTGCCACCAGGGCAGGTCGGAGGGGTGCGGATGAGGGACGTCCAGGTAAAAGCTGAAGGCATCCGCGCGGGAACTGCGGAATGGGGGAAAGGGGGGAGACAGGGGGGGCAGGGAAGGGAGTTGTGTGCGACGGGGAGGAGGGTTTCATAGTACGGACGAGAAGTACGGCACCAGCTGAGGACCTAGGCGGGACACAGATGGGACGTCCGGGAGCGACAAAGGCAACCCCCTAAAAACTAAAAAGACGACTTTTGATAATGTAGATATGCAACTTGCAACGAACAACCGACAACCAATGCCTAATTAAAAGCTGTGTTTAGCTGTGTTTATATTCAAGTTGGTTATTACCGTTTGTCCTAAACTCACTTTCGGGCGTTGCGCGCCAATTCCGCCACAGTCAGCGCCAATGTAACCGGTAGGTTGTTGGCAAGAACGTTGATGGCGCTGAGGAGGAAGAAGTGGAGCTGTCGTACGCCAGGCAGGCCCCAGCCGTACGGCAGCCATGCATAGGACTGCTTCGACAATGCCACCAGGGCCCCCCAGCTCAAGCTACCCCAGTACGGCGCCATGGCCTCCAGTAGAGATTGTTGAACGGACTGTCGTACATTCGCCAGGTAGGCCTGAGAAGCGTGCCAGCCAATGCGGGTGCGACGGGCAGCGGCGGCGGCGGCGGCGGCGGCAGCCGCCGCGGTGTGGCTGTGCGGTTGCACCGGCGCCGCCGGGCCCAGCCGGACAGCGGAGGCAGCGAAGGAGCGGAAGAAAGCCACACTCCGGGCCCCGTGCGCCGCCGCCGCCGCCTGCCTCCCCTGTGCCGTTGCTGAACCGGTCTGGCAGTACACTGCTGCGCCATGCAGCCGACGAAACACGGCCCCCGCGGCGAGGCGACCTCCTAACAGGTTGGCGGAACTGGATGCGCCAGAAAGCGCCGATGATACTGTGGCCCTGTTACCCCATCCGCCGCTATCGCCGCCGCCAGGGCCCTCAGTCCTGCAGGCCCCGCTAACGCCATTTCCACCGCCGCGGCTTGGCGCCCCAGCGGATCCCAAAGTCAATCCATTCGCCGTGGGCGGCGCTGCAACCGCCGTCCCAACGGGTCGTCCACCGCCAGCGGCGGCGCTGGGGGTGCGGACATGGGTGTTGGCGGCCGCTGTGCTGCCGCTCTGCGTGACGGGGGCGTGAAGGTCAGGAGAGCGGGTGGGATTCCCGTGCAGAGAACGAAGTGTTTGTTTGACCAGAGCCCCTGGAGCGGCGGGGGAGAGGGTGGAGGAAGCCGCGGGAAGCGGCGAACCGGCGCCTGAGGATGGCCGCCCGCGAGCGAAGCAGAGCTGCTGACCACATCGCTGCGATAGTCGCCGGCTGAAAGCTGAGGCCAAGGGGTGGAGCGCTGACGAACGTGCCCCGCGGCATTGCAGCGCGGTAAGCAAGGCCGCCGAGGCAATCAGCCGCGCCTGAGCTTCTGGGAACTGGACCCAAAAGACCCTACAAGTACAGGTTGCATCCTCTGAGCTTCATATATTGTTCAAGCCGTCCAGACAAAACATCACCCTCAGATGGGACTCGTATATATAAAATAAGCATGCCGGGCAGCCGAAACCCAGGACGTGCTCAGGAACATTATCAAACGTCTTACCCTTGCTGTTCATTCTCAGCGCTGACCATGCTAGCACCACCGACTCCAAGATACCAGGAAATGGTATATTCACGCGCGCTATGCGCTGCGCCACTTTAAAAGAGTTATGGAATGAGAATCTATGTCTCGATGCGATCGACTGTCCTCATCTGTGAAAGGCTGCTGCAGTTCAGTTAGATGGAGACAATCAGGCTCGCAGAGGCAACGAAACGATACGGTAATCAACGAGGTAGCGCAACAAAAAATTACAATATGCTTCGCATTGAGGGACAAAGCGGGGCGAAATGTGTGGTACATACAGAGGTGTTGTCATGGTGTCGTGTCGTGCTGGTTTGCGGTTTTCGTCGACAAACCACAAACCCATAACGCCGTCGCTTTATAACACCATTGCTAAACGATCTTATAAATTTGCAGGACATGCCAGCTGCACACCCGCTCGGCGTCGACACTGCAGGCTGAACCCCGGGCCGCATAAATAATCAACTATCAACTTACAGGCACTTGCCACCACATCACACCATCGCAGCACGAATCTAAAATACGCTATGCATCACACACAAAGTATGCAGCTGAGCTGTGGCCAGAGCGAGCATTATTCTGTACGGTTGATCTTGCTGATACGGCTTTGGGCTGAGGAGCTTTAGATGTTTGCTGGTTCTTTTTCTGATGCAGCATGATCCCACACAGACGTCCACGTCCACGTACACACACATCTACATGCGCACACATACACAAGAGGTCACGAAACGGACACTCAAACAATCGCTTACCCAACCCCCGAGTGGTGGACATCGAAGATCCGTTCTTGTTCCTCTCCCAGGGGGGATGCACCGTAGGGCCCCCCCCGCCACCCGAGCAAGGGGCACATCGGAGGGAAAGGACGGACTGCTCATTACGCGCAGATTAGGGGTACAGTTCCTTGCACGCGGATCAGATCCCGCACGGACCTCCGTTACGAGCGCCACGGACTCTCCACGGGCAGCAATACCCGCAGCGACAAAACACACCGCTCGGGCAGTGAAACACGTGGGCGGGAGCTGCCCCGGGGTGAGCGCAGTCACACGAACTGCGGTATCCTCAGCTTTGGGCCGTGGGGCTCGAACCCACAACAGTCGCCAGGGGCCGGACCATGTATATCATTGCCCCCATCCATCCCCAACACATCACCCATCACTGCCACCAGTTCCAGGACCACCGCCTGGTCCTGCATCGGCTTCACCTCCGATGCCGCACCCGCAACTGTGCAGGTAGAGCTCCTCCTTCGGCAACACCGCCAGGTTCATGCCGTATACACGTATGTAAGACATTTGCCGTACACACGTGGGAGCTCTCGCGGGTACTCCACCACCGGCAGTAGGAGCAGCAGCAGTAGCAGGACCACGGTGTCTCCCGATTTTGCCGTTCTGGCGGCCCGATAACCCAAGAGCTCGTAACAGGTGGATCCACCATCGTCTGTACGACTGCGGAAACTTGAGAGTCCTTTCTTTAAATGCAGTGATCTTCCAAATTGCTGCACGCTAGAAACCTTTCCTAAAATCTTTGCTGCTGCTGCTGCTGTTGCTACGGTGATGCTGTTGGCAGCAGCAGCAGCAGCAGCAGAAGCAGCAGCAGCAGAAACATCACAGCAAAACATCAGAGATCAGCCCAAACTAAGTATCAATGCTGCCAGCCTCCGGCCAAACTAATTTGTGCAATTTCCCCAAGCCCCCGGATTATCGTATCAAAAACAAAAACAGCGAAAAGGGTGCTAAACACTGTACGGCATACGGAACAGTACAGCATCACACCGCAGCGACCTCTGAACGCCTTACCCAGCTTGGTAATCTACCTGTCGTGCGCATACCATACGTGGCCCCCCACATGGGGATGTGCTCCAGCCCGACACAGCACCAAGACCGCCGCCACCGCATCCCCCTGCAAACACGAGAAGATGCGCAATGCCGATAAACCTGGGCAGCACGTAACCGTTCCGGGTAGAACAGCTACAACTCTTTGCCGATCTGCCGCGAGCCCTCCTGCCAACACCTTACCTGTACGGCGAAATACCGAACGTACGAGCATTACAACGAGGGTGTACCAGTGGGGCGCGCCTCCAGCACCCAGGGGTTACAGGAAAGGGAAAACACACGCCGCGTCAGTCCCCCTCCATCTGCTAGAAACAATGCACTTACCGCCCGCACCGCCCGCACCTGAGCAAGCAGATGCCGTACGAGTATCATGACGCACATGTCGTAGTCGAACACTCTGTTCCCACTTCATGCCAGCTAAAATGCGACAATGCGTGTTCTCATTCACCGCCAGCCGCCGGAGGAGCCACCCCGTGCAGTAGTGTAGGTGGCAGGGTAGGCAGGAGCAGAGGGAAACGCAGGTAGGACGAGACGGAAATCCAAGCAACCCTACCACGCAGCAGATTCTCCCCAAACCCCCCACACGCACATGTCCCCCACACATTCCTCACGCATACTCCCCACGCACACTCCCCGCGCATAGATACAATCATGTCTGGCTAACGGCCTGCAGCGCGGACTTGAGGTTGCGCTGCGGCTTTGGTCTTTCCTAAAGCGTCTCGCTGACTACTGCTGTTGCTGTTTCTGCAGACCGCCAGCCAAACATGATTGCACGATTCCATCATACGTTCTTCAGCAAAACCTAAGCAGTACGACCAATCGCAGAGCACGACAGATTATGAGCGACCTGAGATTCATGACTCACATTGCAAGTATCCCAGCTCGTGTAGCGGCCAATTGCCCCGGCTGTGTTGTTGCATTGTCGCCGAGCGGTCACACCAGCTATGAGGAAGCACCAGGGGCAGGCAGGAGAGCGATTATCCAGCTCGCGCTAGTTATACATACCTTGCAGTCTCTGCCTGTAAGCAACCAAACAAAAGCGATTGTCGGCCAAAACATGGGAACAGCCATTATTCATACACTCTCCTTCAGCACTCCGGCGAATGGCCTAATTTATGTCAATTGTCACCAAAATATTTCCTATCTCATAGATGTTGACTCTTAATGACGATCAACTTGGAGCAAAGTTGCCCTCCTCATGCATAACTGCTGTGACTTTATCCCAGCCTTGCTGAAACTCTCACCCTTCCTTATAGTATGTGCTCCTGATTTCCCTGTAACTCGTGAATATCGGCCGCCATCGCCCCATAAGAAGTGGACAATTGCCATCGCCGCACGACACCAGAAGCATAGTAGTGGCAGCCTAAACCTGTATGCAAAGTAGTGGTAGACTCATGAGCTTCCATGGCGGGCTAATCATGACCTCCATGGCAGCAACTGCAAAGCTGCTGTTCCATGTCTTAACTAGCCTTCTGGCAGCGCTCCAGTCAAAGGTGACCCACCTAGCAGGTCAGAACCTCATGGATCATCCTGTGACCAGGAGCGTGTCGATAAGTCTTCACGGCAGGTTGCAAACAGAAAGACCACCTGTAGACGTCTCAGGTGTAGTAGTGTCGCTCCAATTGACCTTGAGATGAGGAAGTGTAAGTAGGTCAGACTCAAAAATGTAAGTGGTCGGAACAGTCAAGGCAAAATAAGCCCGTTGTGGAAGGCCCGTTGTGAAAGGTTTTGACATCTGCCAGCTTACACCATCGGCCTTGAACATATCAGGCTTGTCAATTCCACTTATAATTTGTATGGCTATAAGCTAATAGTAGCTTATCGATCCCTTGCAGGCCTCCAAATATGCCTGCTGCTGGTTGCGTACGGGAACGAAGCTTGGAACCTGTTCCAAATCGTACAATTCACAATTCCGCCATGATGGTAGCGGACTTGTCCAAGTGAAGAGGTAAAAGGCAAGGCTGGAATGCGTAGGGACCTGACTGAAAACCCAAGTTACGGTTGGACCTCTGAGGCGAAAAGGTTCTCTATCCGGAAAGAGCTTTAATGGGGATTTCCAGAAGGAAAGCAGGTCGAAGGTAGGTTGAAAACTGGAACAGCGAAGACCTGTACAAGAATCTGATGCGCCTGTGCGGCAGCAAAACAACGCCGCCAGCGAAACCAGCTGAGATGGCCATTGAACGAAACTTAAATCCAACACAGATTCTCGACACGGCAAAGCAAAAAGAAAGACCCAATAATTAAATCCGTCGCGCCTTCATCGCGGCCCCCATCGCGACACCGAACATGTCCAAACCTACCCCGTCTTACTCGTTTTGGACTACATGCAGAGACCCCTACTGCCCTACTGCGTATGTACGTACTCCTGTTAAATGAATCATCCTTGATAATAACCAATCGGGGGACCTCCGGAACCGAGCTCTCTTGTGAAATAATGGATTGAGCATTGTGTTGACTGTTGGTCGGTCAAGATGAATCATTAAACGATATCGACCTCGTCCCCGAGACTTCTTTCCCTGACAGTTGCTCCCCTGACTACCGCTTGAAAGGAAAGCCACATGTGTGTGTACGTGTGTGTACGTGTGTATGTATGTATGTGTGTGTCTCTTACACCTCGGTTGCGTTACCCAGAGAGGTATCATCATATTGTACACATCATCATTAACCCATCCTGATGAGTCCTGGTGATGGCACTCAGCGGCGCGAATCCGCTCCATCACTCTATCGTGGTAGTAGAGTACTGCATACAACACATTACACTTTCCGGCGGTGTGCTCGCCGGCGTTCCAGCACGCACGTCACAGCAGCTACATACAGTCCTTGGCGCCAATTCGGAAAACCACCGCATCCGTACGGCTTCGTACGGCAAGCTCCGGCTTCGTGATTTTGTAGTACTGTTAGGGGCTCCAGCCGGGCCGCCATCGGGGAACATGAGCTGGGGTCAGGTAGCGAGCATGAATCGCTGACACCGATATGATGAAAGGCATGGAGCGCAGAAACCCAAGCACCCGGTCCACCCCAGCACGTTAACACCCTCACCTGACCCCACGGGGGCTATTTTGCGACCATCCGTGGCGGGGCGGGGCCAGCTCTCCGCACGCCACCCCAAGGATGAGCCCTAGTACAAAAGCCCTAGGACGCCGGCCCCCCTTCCAGAAGCGTCCCAGCCTCCGGGGTCAATGAAAACTGGGGAGGACACTGCTTCAACAGCCGGCGGTGTGACCGCGGCGAGGCCCCCGCTGTCCCAAGCCCCCAGTACTGGGTGCCTTTCACTTTAAGGCCGTTGGTCTTACTTGTCCCCCTTTAAAGCCTCGCGAACCTTGCAGCGTTCCCTCTCCCTACCCTCCCCCCCCCCGGCCCCCACCTTGTCAATCAGGTCCACATTCGCAGTCATCGCCAGCTCCGAAACCGGGACTTGCTCACCCTGTATTCGTGACTTGAGGGCCTCCAACTGCAGTACATAAAAAGTACGGTAAATCAAAGCAAGGATGTGTAAGATGTTACAATAGTGCACTGGTTTCCACGGCATCCATCCATCTGGAAATGGGAAAAATTCATTCCCCAAGTCCAGCGCGTGCAGCATCCACCCCGAGTTGGGAACACTGGACGGCTCGGGCGGACTGGCTCGCTGCACACATGCGCCTACATCCGTTCCTGTCCGACCCCTTAGTCGACCTTTGCGCCCACCGCCCTTCCGCTCCGCACCCCTCCCGCCGAGTGCCGCACCTCCTCAGCTGTGCAGTCGAACCGCGCCGCCAGCAGTGTCGTACTCGTGTCGGTGACGCCAAAGCGCTTCAATGACTCCACCACCTGCACTTCGCCACAGCATCGATCGCGAATTGGGTAACGTGATATCGGACCACGTGCCACCCCACCACACGGGGCACTAGAAGTCAATGCCGGAAAAGCTCTCTGAATCTTTAGGATAGCTGCGTATTCCGAAAGCTAGTCGCTTTGTGTTTTGATGGTGTAAAGGAGGAAAAGTGGCGTGTCACGTTTTTGCAGAACCCAGAACAGTGGGCACGGCCCGTGATAGCAGTACAAGGCACGCCGTACAGCGCATGCAACATGTCCGTGGCGGTGTGGTGGGGGGCTAGAAAGGGGGGTTCAATTTATTGCTGAGATGGAGATGCATGGGTACGAGCATGCCGTACGCACGTGTGTCATCCCACTGGTGTTATGTATGAGCTCCGTGTGAAGGGACTTGGTGGTCAGCTGCCCCGAAGATTCCGCCGCCAGCGCCGCGTACCCTGCCAGATGCACTACGAACGGATCAATAACCTGTTTGCAGGAGAGACAGCATCGACAACAAAAGCTGTTTGGAAGGGAAACGGTGAGGCTTTCTATTAGGGTGTGGGCCGCGAGGGGCATCTTCCGCTGGCAAGCTATTACTTGGAGGCTGGGGAGGGAATTCGGCAATATGCATGAAATGTTGTACTGACCGTACCCGCCAGCGACATGCAGGCCCCCACAGCGGATTTTACTCAAGAGAATTAAGGTATAATTGTCGTACAATTACAGCTTTTTAACGGGTAAGCTGAACCATCGTCGACTAAGAAGGGACCTGTGGTAGGCGCCTCACCGTCTCCGCGTTGATGTAAGCAAATTCCGCCATGCTCGAGTCAGAAATCGAGGCGCGCACATCCCTGGCGTGCACCGAAAGACAATAAAACCGTTTTTGTACTGGAAAAAGACGGCTAATTCGATCAGAGTGGTATTTTTCCTTGCTTACTTTATGTTCCTGCACTCCTTGAACAGAGCAAGTGTTAAAGTCCGTCCAGGGTAAGACTCGAACGTTAATACCAATTCAGACATATCTGTATCTGGCCTCACCGAGTACACGAAGCAACTTAAAAGCTCTGCGGCACCTGCCTGGAGGCCGCAACTGCATTTCAGTTATATTTGTTTTCACTATGGTTTCGGCGCCTTACTATCCGTGCCAAAACCATGAAGCTGTAATTCACGCACCAGATTGCATTGTAGGTTGAGAGTCCTGATATCACCCCACACAAAGCCATAGCAAGGATTTGTTACGCCCTTGTGATGGCTGGCACGCACATTTGCGTCCCCTTGTTGTCCATAGCTCAACATGCATCTAATCGCCCGGTATTTATAGACGAACAATACCATGTGGGTCCGCCCCCGCAGATCCCTGCCTTGACCGAGGCGACTGGTTCGCAGGTGCTGCATCGGGTTGCGCTCCTCAGCCGCGCAATCCTCAGCCTCTCTATCACGCCCGGCAGTGTTGTCGTCCTTGTGGCTCAAACCTCGGCCGCTGTGATGGAGGCTATGTTAGCTGTACTGGACGCCGGCTGTATCCTATGCCCCGTCAATTGGCGATGGACGACCGCGGAGCTGTCCCAAGCGCTGGTTCGGCTCGGCCCAGCACTGGTACTATTCGACATCAGCTGTTCTGATCTTGTCCATAAGGCTCTGGTCTCTGCATTCCCGCCATCTTCTTTAGACCTCCGTAACCACCACTCTCAACCTGTACCTTCACGCCCGACAGCGAAGTCGCCGCTTGTCTGCCTTATCAATCACTGGATGATGCCACTGCCACCAGATGTGCCAATCGATGACGGCCGGGCTACCTTACACCAGACGCAGCAGCAGCAGCAGCTCCGAAACCAGCATCATGTCAAAGATCATAAATGGCATCAACCGCGCCAACAGGATGCACAACATGAGGTTCCTGCAGCAACGGGACCCTTCAAGACTCTTCAGTCCGTATCCTCTGCACTCTCAACCTCAATCTTTACCACGAACCAGTTATTACAGAAGTGGGAGCCCTCTTCGGCCGCGGTGCCGCAGGTGGTGTCGCAGATACCTCCAGCCCACGTATCTCATCCTCTTGCAGCTCCAACATCCTCACTCGATAGCCGTTGCCAGCCACAGCCACAGCTGCTGATAAAACCCCAGCCACAACCCCAGCCACAACGACAACCGGAGCCGCAGCTTCAGCTCCTATCATCACCATGCGGTACGGCACTCCTGGTATTCACCTCCGGCACTACAGCCGCCCCCAAGGCGGTTCGTCTCAGCCACGCCGCCTTCCACATTCAGTCTCTGGTCAAACTTGCCCTTGTGGGTTATTGCCGCGAGGACACCTACCTGCACCTGGCGCCGCTCTTCCACATTGGTGGTCTCTCATCCGCTTTTGCAGCCCTCATGGCAGGCTGCACGCAAGTGTTCCTGCCGAGATTCGAACCGCGGTTGGTGCTGCGAATCATTGTCCGTCACACCGTGAGCGCGTTCATTGCCGTGCCTACCATGTTGCAAGATCTGGCGGCCGCAGCGACCGCAGCGGCGGCGGAGGCTGCTTGTGGTGGCAGTAGCAGTGGTAGTGGCGGCACATCGGGCCTGAGGCCCCCCTGGGGCTGTGTGCGGCGCATCCTGGTGGGAGCGGGGCCCACCTCGCCCCAGTTGCAGGTGGGGCGACAGGGCGACTTGGCGACGTTCGTAGGGTTTGGAACTGGCGGTAGCTCACGGCCCTTGCCTCGATCGGAGACCTGTAACGTTCAGTATGTGTATGTGTATTTTTGTATTTAAAATGAGTTGGGTGTGTATATATGTATGTATATATTTGTATGTCGACCTTCTTTCACCCGGATGGGGAAACTTCCCCTCCATACCTAATGATAGCACATGCGCACACCCGACGCCAGGACGCCATCTGCCGTACCTTCCCTGGCGCTGACCTCCTGTCCGCGTACGGCATGACGGAGGCGTGCTCGTCCATGACGTTCCGCCACCTCAGCAGCGGTGCAGGTTGCGGCCGCGGCGGCCCTATAGACGCCTTTCACCGACCTCTCCACCCCCACCCCCACCACCACCAGTGCAATGGGCAACAGCAGCAGCTCACATCGGCAGTAGCACCAGTAGCCACAACAACAGGGACATCGGGGGCAGCAGTAGCAGCAGCAGCGGCAGCGGCATCTGTGTCGCCCTCAGGGACCCCTCCGGCCGCCGCCGCCGCCACTAGTGCGGTGTGCGTGGGCTGGCCTGCCCCGGGCGTGCAAATCCGAATCCGAATCCGTACGGAGGCGGCGGCGGCAGACGCTGGTGCTGTCGTACCCTTGGGCAGCCGCGACACGGTCCTGCCCGCGGAGGGGGTCCCTGTCCGCGGCAGTCCTGCGTCGTCCTGCCACTTTCTGGCTGGCGAGGTGGAGACCCGGGGGCCTCACGTGATGCTGGGCTACTGGGGCAACTCGGCGGCCACCGCGGAGGTGCGGAAGGGGGACTGGGGGCGGAGAGGGGGCGAGGGGGGGGAGAGGGACAGGGGGAGAGAGGGAGAGAGAGGCGGGATTGGGAATCTGGAAAGCAAGGAGCAGAGCTGGCTCCTAGTTGGGGTAGGGGGACATGCCCCGTGCCGGAGAGTGTTGCCCGACTCGCTGAGGGTGTATAATCCCTCCCCGTCCCCCCCGTCCTCTCTCCCGCCCCCATGCAGGCGATATCCGCCGATGGTTGGCTGAGTACGGGGGACCTGGGCTATCTGGCTCAGGACGGGTCGTTGTGGTTGTTGGGACGAGCCAAGGACATGATCAAGAGCGGCGGCGAGAACGTGTTCGCGCCCGAAGTAGGGTGTGACCGGAACGCCCTTCCCCCACTCTCCATTGCGCCAGTACAACATGACATATCGCACAGGGTTTGCATGCACATGTTGCACATGTTTTATTTTGACAGCACCTTTTCACACCTCCTAGCAGCTAGCTGGGGGGCGATGTAGGGCGGTGTGTTAATATAGCCCCGGGAAAGGGGCCCAGCAGTAGCAGCAGCAGCAGCTTCCCCAGCACCTGACGCCATGTGACGTCACGTCACATCGGTATGTATGTATGTATGTGTATTCGCTTCTTGCCGTCGTTTCGGCACACACAGACATATTCCGGACCGACCCACCGAATGTTGAGTTCTCCCTCCATTCCCCCACCCATTCCCCCCCAACTACCACCCACCCATCCGCCTACCCCCCAATTCATTCGTTCGTGGTTCGTCTTACGCCCCACTACCACCCACTACCACCCACTACCACCCACCCAACCCAGGTGGAGGCGGCTCTGTGCAGTCACCCGGCTGTGGCGGCGGTGGCGGTGGTGGGACTGCCGGACGAGCGGCTGGGGGAGAAGGTGTGTTTCGAGAGGTGTGTGTGTGTGTGTGTGTCTGTGTCTCAGATGTGAGAGGTGAGAGGGTGTTTATTGCGCTAGGTGGAGGTGCAAGACGGCAAGACGGGAGGGAGGGAGGGAGGGTAATGAAATAGAGTTGTGGATAGCTCCGTAGGGGATACGTTTGCGGGGAAGCTTGTAGGGGGGGAGGAGATGGTGGCGGTACGGGTGGAATGGAGCCTGCTGGTGTGTGTGTGTGTGTGTGTGTGTTTGCGTGTGTGTGTGCCATATATATCTGGCTGGGCCTGATGTATGAACGTTATGTATGTGTGTATGTGCATGTGCATATGCAAAGCAGAGGAACTCGCCAGTGGGGGTTCTGGAGTTACAGCCACTCGGGGTCCCCCCACACCCCACACCCCCTCACGCACTGAGCATGCGCCCTATGAGGATTGGGGCGCTTCCCTCATCACACTTGGGCCGCACATGCTGCACAGGTCGCAGCACTGGTGGTTCTGCGCAACGAGTGGAGCTTCCAGGACACAAGCACCACCAGCAGCACCATGAGCACCAATCGCAATGCCACCACCACCACCACCACCACCACCACCAGCGGTTGCATCACCAGCCTGGCGGACCTGCAGGCGCATTGCCGGGCTCAGGGCTTAGCAGGATTCCGGCTACCTCGCTTTGCGGCGGCGCAACGGCAGCCGCTGCCCACCACCAGCTCGGGCAAGGTGGCTAAAGCGGAGGTTCGGGAGCGACTGAGAAAGGCGGCGAAGGGGGAGGTGGAGCGGGAGGGGGACGGGATACTACTGGTGATCCGCAGTCGGCTATGACTGTATGTAGGACTGTATGTATGTAAGACTGTATGTATGTTAATGGCCATATGTATGTAAGACTGTATGTATGTGTGGAAAGACCCAGGCCAGTGGGTTTCAGGGACCAAATATCTCGTCAGCATGAGTGAGTGGATCTAAGCGTGCCGCCACACATACATGCGTGTGCGCGCACTTGTATGTGTGGATGGATGTGGCGGTGTGGGGTGTAGATGTACCCGGGACGACAAAGGAGCGGTCCCGATAGCATGCGTGGGTTTGGGCAGGGCGGAGGAGAGTGATGGGGTGTGTGAGCGGCCTGGACGGAGGTTGGAGAGGTGGGGCCTTGCTTCCACCTTGCTATGAGGGTAGTCTGTGGCTATGAAGCTGTGCTGCTTGCGGCATACAAGAGGGTAGTCGTACACAGGGGGTGAGGTGCGTGTGTCCGTGTGTTTGGTGGAGCGCGATTGCTTGGAGGAGGGGGGGTTGTGTGCTGCCGTAGATGGCCCTGGATGGCTGCGGAACCTTCCGCGGACGACCCCGGGCCGCTGGGCATCCCCGCGTTGCTGTGTACGTAATGCATGTATTTAATTAATGGTTGATATGAGGAAACTCTATATCTGTATATTAACTATTTCTGTCCATGTCTATGTGTGTTGTGTGTGTATGTTGTTCGCCAGCGGCCCCCTTTCCCGGGCAGTCCCTGCTCTCCCCTGCTAGAGGGGCACCCTAATCCGTCACCCCATCCGACTTCAGAATATATTCGTTGGGTTCGGCAACTCACCACCAGCATCCAACCAAGTCTAGCGGATCAACGGCGCATCAACTTAGTTCCTGGTCAGCTCGCAAGTTGATATTATCACGTCCTACACCGTCCATATGATGGGGGGCCACCTCCCATTTCAACACTCCTCAAACACCCTAGGAGCCGGCAGACGGATTTGAACCCGGGTCGGCCGGGAACAGAAGTCAGGCCTTGTGTGTATGTGCCATCGAGCAAGCTGTGGGTGGAAGAGATCCCGACCGCATGTGATTTGTGTGGACCACATGGCGATGAAGAGTGAAGTGCTCTGCGGACCCCGATTGCTCTAACCCCTCCTCCTGGTCCTCCTCCGCTTCCCCTTGTCCAGTGCGCCTTTCCCGGCATTCTGGGTCCAGCACACCTTTGGGGAGAGACAAAGTGCAAGAGCCGAGTGTAGGGAATGCAGTAGAGCTGCAGTGTTTATTGAACACGTGCCAGGGATGCATGCCCACTACCAAGGGGGTGGGGTGGTGGTCCTGGGATGGGGTGTACATGTGCCTGCCTGCCAGTACCTTGCGCAGACCCCAAGGGACATACATACAGACGTCTTGCTGCGGGAGAGCGCAGTGCAGCAGCACTGAAGTAAAGCCGCAGTATCGCGGCGCAGTCGACAGGGAGGCCGCCCCGTATGCGGGTGAGGAGGGAGTAGCCATGTCATCATACCGGCTTTGTCTGTCTGTCATTCCATCAGTCTGTCTCTTTATCTTCTGGAAGCAAATCGCGTGCGGAGGGAGGCGGCGGCAGGGCTGGACACCAACAAACTTGCCAACAGAGGAGACATATATACATGATACACAATTGCAAGGTGGTTGGCAGTTGGCGGTTATACCCCACTGCCGATGGGGCTGCTGGAGGATGTCAAGAGAGAGACAGCCCTTTGCTACATATCCTGTGAAGTGAGTCATTCTTTGAGACGCGCTGGGGAGACCTTCCGAGGAGGTGCACGAAGGGAAGTGGCATGTGCACAGTTTTAAAACAAAACATCGACCAGGCACGCGGAAAGTATCTGAAGCCGCCGCCGCAGCAGCAGTAGAAACAGCAGTAATAGCGGTAGTCGAGTCGCGCACATGAAAGTACGAGACATCGGCGGCAACATAACAATGTTCGCGATCCGAACTGCAATAATGTGGTGACTCCCGCAACACCATTCTGCCCACTCCGTTACCCTCGCACCACCTATCGTGGACTATCCGCCTGTGCACTGGCCGGTGCACATGATCGATGCAGTTGATACCCCCACGCCGACGACACCCACCTTCATGCATCATGTGCATGCTATCCCCCCACATACACCGCCACCCCGCTCCTCTTTCATACGGATTCCATTCAGACCCCCACCGGCCTTATCTAACGACCAGCCGCGACGCTGTGTGTGTATTAGCCCACGCCCACGCGCCTGAGCCCCTGCGCAACGTCATCCGGGAGCTGATGTCCGAGGATACGCTCATGCCCCGGGGAGAGCTGGGGCGTCTCACGAGGACGTGCCCGCACCCGCCCCGCCTCGCTTGGCTGCATCCGCCGCCTTCTTCTCGTCCTCGATCTCCTTGACCAGCGTATCCACTTCTTCATCAGTCAGCACCTTGAGCCCGGTGCCACGCTCCATCACCGCCACCTCAATGTTCTTGCTGCCTGCCTCCACCGTCTCCATAAGCGCCCGGATTGCCAGTTTGACCGTGTCCTTGCCGGACGTCTCTACGAAGTGCTTTTCTAAGAACTCTCGAACGGTTTTAGAGTTGCGGCCGATGGCGTTTGCCTTCCAGGCGGACGAGGTGCCGGACGGATCTGTCTGGAAGAGCTGGGGAACACCCAGAGGATCGAAACCGACGATGAGAGTTGAGATCCCAAAGGGTCGCACGCCACCGCTTTGCGTGTATCGCTGCTGCACGCCGGCGATGTACTTGGTGATGTAGTCGACGGTGACCTTTTCGTCGAGGGTGAGGCGGTAGCTCTGGGCCTCCACGCGGGCGCGATTGGCTAGAACGCGCGCGTCGGCAGTCAGGCCCGCGAATGCGAGACAAATGTGGTCGTCGATTTTTATAATCTTGCGCACGGTGCGCGCGTCCTGCAACTTGGCAGTGGATATCTTCTCAACACCTACGGTGCGCGGTCGGCAAGGGGCAACGGGTTTTGGTTTCTGACGAGCTGGCGGAGGTTCGCGTGCTTACTAGGGGCGAGGGACATGGCAGTCGTGGTGGAAGTTCAGGCTTCGGCCGAGGCCCGCTGTCCAGAACGTTTATTGGTTGCCAGTAGTTCGGTTACCTACCTAGCACGACTGTGTCTTGTCCCTTGACGCCGACGGCAAGGGCGCCTTTCCGCACTGCCTCCAGCGCGTACTCCACTTGGAAAAGATGCCCATCCGGAGAAAAGACGGTGATTGCTCTGTCATATCGTGCGCTCATATTGGTTTCAAGTCAGCTTCAGTGGAGGCCAGGACAAAGAAAGGTTGTATTTGCGTGTGCAGATCCGGTATGAGCTGTGCAGCCGATAGGGGTTATCACTACCTTCAACCTGGAATAAGCACCGTAAATCTGCCAAATTCTCGTTACAATATACAGGTGCAAGAACAAGCCTCGTCTCATGCCATTTCGGGTCCAGCTCCGAAAACCAGGACGGTTCGTCCCCTTACCACTGTTGCTCGTGACCGATTCCCCAGCGCCGGTTATATTCTGCAAGTACGTTTAGTGCGTAAAAACTATCAGGTTAAGCATTGAGGTGAAGCTGCTTGAAACCTCTGTATCCTCACCCGCTGCCACGGTCCTAAGCGTCTGGAACCTGCAACCATGTCCGACGATGAGATGGAGGATTATGGATTTGAGTATTCCGACGAGGAACCGGAGGAGGAGGACGTCGACATAGAAAACCAGTACTACAATGCAAAGGGTGAATGATCACGCGAGCCCTGCATTACGGGTTATACCTTATTTAGCACGATGACAGATCTGCTACACGCTCTTTGGTATAGTGCTGTGCGCGCGCTACAAACGAGGACCTTGCCCGCAGGCATGCTAGAGGGCGACGATAGCCGGGAGGCAATTGATGCCTTTAGACAAGTCGTGGATATGGAGCAGGGAAAGGGAGAATGGTACGTGGTGGGGTGAGCCGCGTCGCTGACAGAAAACATGGGCATGTTAGGCAGGGGGCCACGGTGGGTTTGGGCACTGGCACTTTTGTGGCTTTTTTTTCCCGGGCAAGTCGGTCGGAGCCGCACATTGACTCACGTCAGGCTCGTAGACCTTCTTTCAATCACCACCGCATGGTGGCCTTGCCAGCTTGGGTTAGGAAGACGGCGTAGTAGTGCTGCCCTGACCCATACCTCTGATACGGCAAAAAGGGGGCCCTCTCCATCGCCCCGAAATCAAACGAAATAGTATCCCGGCTCTCCATGTTTGAATCACAACATCAGCTGGGACTGTACAGCGGCGGCGGCGGCGGCGGCGGCTACCACTGGATTCTGGATCCAGATCCTAATTGAGTTTGATGTGGGTCAGGAGGGACATTAGCAACTCCGTGCAAGTTATCCGCAGTCTATTCTCGTGTTGTTGTTGTTGTTGTTGTTGCCGATTATGACGATCATCACGAGGTTGAGGATGATTAGGATGGGGGTGTTGTGCCACTGTAGGCGCCAGGAATGCCGGGGGGTTGTCGCGCAGATGGTCAGCGCCCAACCTAATCGCGGTTCGCTTCCGCGCCCGCTCACATAAGCCCACACCCCTCTCTAGCTGCACCCCCTCCTCCCTCTCCCTCTCCCTCTCCCCCCGCCCTCCTCGTCATCTCGTGGCCAACCTTCCTGGCAACCCGTACTCCGCCTGCCTCTGAGAATCCCCAGGGGCTTTAAAGCTCTAAAGCAGCTGGTGAAGCTGCACTACAAGCTGGGGCAGTACGGCAAGATGATGGATTCGTACAGGTACGGCAGAAGGTCCTTGTGGTGGTGCTTGTGGTGGTGGTTGCGGGCCTCGTTCAGTATTATACATTCCGTCCTGTGGGGGTGCTGAGGATATGAATGAGATCGCGCGCGCTGCTACTCAGAGACATGGGGCTGTCGGGTTCGACAAAGGGCATGATCACCACCACCCGATCATCACCACCGTCTCAGCGTAACCAGCACCATCATCTCCCGCCCTGGCTGATGCCGTCCTTGGCATGTCGGAAGGGCGATGGCCCCTTCCTGATCGTCAGGGGCGCCCGCGCCCGATGATCTGTTGGTGTTCATCTGCCGTCCCTCCTTTCCCGCCTCTCACCCTCCCTCTCCTGGGCCCAGTGCCTTGCTGCTCTGAGCCCTCCTGCTAGCGATGCGAATGAACTACTGCATGGGGTTGTGTGTGTGTGTGTGTGTGTGTGTCTTACTGTCGCGCCCGGGTGGTGGTGGTGGTGGCGGTGGTGGTGATGGTGGTGGTGGTGGTGGTGATAATGGTGGTGGTGGTGGTGGGTTCTAAGGGTCGGTCAGCCAATTTTTTCTCCAGCTTCCTCCCTTATGGATGTCTGCTACATCGCTAATCTCCTGCTGTCTGTCTGTCTGTCTGTCGCCGTTGCAACCAGGCTGATGCTGAGCTATGCGGAGAGCGCGGTCACAAAGAACGCGAGCGAGAAGAAGATCAACAGCTTGTTGGACTTCATGGCCGGGGCGTCGGATATGCAGGTAAGGGGGGAAGGGGAGGTAGGGGTGTCCGTCAAGCCCAGGGGCCATGGACTATATAGCCCTCCTCATCCAGTCACCCGACATCTATAGAGACAGGGCAGCCATCACTACCAATCTAATTTAGTCCATTAACTAGACCGCATCTCCACACCGCAGTAGCAATCCGTAAACCTAATACTCCCGAGCAATGTCGGGGATTTGCCTAGGAGTTGAACCCGGGACCTCATCTGCTAATTGCAGTGAGAGTCACGAGACCAGACAGTGTGCGTATATATGTGTGTGCGATGATTCCTCCCATCCCCAACCGCCCAACCCCCAACTCCCAACCCCCCAACCCCGTCCCCCCTCCTGGCGCCCGCTGCGCGGTACGTCTCCTCTCCCTCCCCCCCTCCCCCCTCCCCCGGCCCCTTCAGATCCTTCAGGAGTTTTACGAGGCCACCTTGCAGGCGCTGGAGAAGGCCAAGAACGAGAGACTGTGGTTCAAGACACAACTTAAACTTGCCAACTTGTGGTTTAAAAACCAGGAGTACGGCAGAATGAGCAAAATTATCCGGGAGTTGCACAAGTGAGTGAGTAAGTGTGTGTGTGTGTGTAAATTAATGAATACGGAGTTGTGCACATAAATGCTGGTTGTTTTATGTAAATAAATGCCCTTTGTTATGTCCCACTGTCTATTGGTAGCATCTATCCAACACCTGTACATGCCTGTATCCCTGTATGTATGTTTGTCTGTATGTATGTATTATATGAGTATTATGTGTGTGTGTTACATGGTCGTGGGGGCGCCTTCCCCGTACCTGCAAACCGCCCAAATACGAGCCAAGGGCTCAAGGGCTGCCAGGTCGCCTATAAGCACCATCCTACCTCCTAACACTTCAGGCAAAGCAAGTGATAACGGATACTAACGACCAAAGGGAACGATAGAGTTGCGGTGGGACCATATACGTTCCAGCATCCTTGCCTTGTATGTGTGTATGTATGTGCCTGTTGTGTCACTCACGCCTTGAGCCCCCCGAGCCCCCCCAACCCCCGAGCCCCCTGCATTCCCCCCCCCGGCCCCCCCCCGCCCCCCCCGCCCCACACGCACAGATCTTGTCAGCGAGAGGACGGTAGCGAGGACCTCAAGAAGGGCACTCAGCTGCTGGACATATACGCGCTGGAGATCCAGATGGCCACGGAGCAACGGAACAACAAGCGGCTCAAGAAGCTCTACCAGCAAGCGCTCACCGTCAAGTCGGCCATCCCGCACCCTCGCATCATGGGCATCATCAGGGAGTGCGGAGGCAAGATGCACATGCACGACCAGCTGTGGAGCGAGGCGGCCACGGACTTCTTCGAGGTGGTGGTGGGGGGAGGGAGCAGGGGCCCCGAGGGGGGGGGGCTGAAGGGCTTTTAAGGGCGGGGGGGCGGGGATTGGGGGGAGTGTAGAGCGTAGTTGAATAAAAGGTGGCAAAGGACAACGTGGGTGAGGGGTTGGAAGCATGATGATGCAAGGTTGTACTGATGCATTCATTGCAAGGCCTCCCCCCTTCGACCTCCGTCGTACAGTCCCCTTGCATTTGTATCGATTTTCGTCCTCTCGCGGATTCGTCATCTCGCGGATTTCCCCGTGCGGGTGCGCCCCCGCTTCCTCTGTGTTTCCCTCCCCCCTTCCATTCCCCCCTTTCCGACTTCCTGCCTTCACCACCTCCATCGCCTTCGCGGGTAGCGAAGGCACCGTCGCTGCGTCCCCCATTCAAGATTGTCCTCATTCACCAACCGGGGCCCCCTCTCCCTCCCTCCCTCCCTCCCTGCCCCCATCCCTCCCTCCCTCCCTCCCTCCAGGCTTTCAAGGCCTACGACGAGGCGGGGGTTGGTCGCCGAGTGCAGTGTCTCAAGTACCTGGTGCTGGCCAACATGCTCATGGAGAGCAGGGTAGACCCCTTCGACGCGCAGGTAGGGGGGGGAGGGGTAGGGGGGAGGAGGGGAA